ATGGACGACTTCCGCAGTCGTTTTATTTCCTTTTTTAAAAATAAAAATAAAAAATTAATTTGCTTGGGGAAGGATAATGTGACTACCAAGTTGTGTTACTACAAAATGACTACCAATTAATCTCACCGTTAGATCGATTGTGTTGATCCAACGGTTATATTTATTTTCATCTTTGTATGGTCATGGTTTCCCAAATTTAATATTTTATATGTATTTCTACCTTTGTATGGTTATGATTTCTCATATTTAATACTTTCACTTTAAATATGGAAAATCATAATCATACAAAGATGGAAATAAATATAATCGTTGGATCAACATAATCGATCTAACAGTGAGATTAATTGGTAGTCACTTGGTAGTAACACAACTTGGTTGTCACAATATCTTTCCCCAATTTTCTTTGTGCATTTCTTTTTCTTTTTTGTTTTTACCCAAAGTGAAAACTTATCTACCCAAATGTGTTGTTTTGATAAAAGGAAATGTATATTTAATTTTACGATTTTATTAAGGGGCGTTTGGTTGAGGAGAAATTTTATGAATAATAGGGAAATGGTTGGAAAGTGGGATAAGTAGAAAAATATAAAAACAAGTTGTTTGGTTGGAAAAAATTTACCTGAAAAATAAGGTAACTTTCATGAAATCTATGTTTGGTTGTAGGTAATATATAGATGGAAAAATACAGTGGGTATTACAAAAATAACCCTGACTTTATAAATTTTTTAATGAACATAGAAGACACCCGTTGTCCTTTCCCAACGTCCTTGGTTCCTTGTTACTCTCTCTCTTTCTTTCTAGGTCTGAAAATGGCTCATGTACTGAGTAGAAGCATGGCCACTGCCTCTGTTGCCCCATTCACACTAACAAAACCCCAATACCACCTGAGAAGCGCTTTTCTGCCACCGCAACATGGTCTGATAAAGTGCTTCTCTTCTGCCACCGTCGGGTTGAAGTGGAAGCAGCACGCGAGAAGAAGCAGGCTCGTTGTGCGATGTGAAGCAACGGTTGCAGAGAAAGAAGGGGTACGCTGGTCTTTTTCGTAGTACAGTTAGTGAGCAGATGTGGAGGTATTCCACAATACCACCTTGCAAATGGGTTTCTATGGCCGGCTAAATCAGTACAAATACATAGGGAAGGAATGCCTTCAATCACAGTTATCTAGCTAAGTGAGGAAACCCAACACACCAAACGCTGCTTTCTTCCTTTCCCATTTGTGATTTATCTATCATTCTGTTCAGATTCCTTCAACCAAGGGGCTGTTTGGTTTTAGGATTTTGTTGAGAATGATAGATAAATGAGAAGTGGGAATAGAAGATCCCTATGTATGGTTGATGGTGGTTCCTCACTTAGCTACCTAAATATGAATCATAGGAAACGTATTTGCATATCTATTTAAACCTATATAGCCGGCCAAAGTTGCCCTTTTCGTACGTGGTTTTCTTGAAAGCTCCATATTTTCCCCACAGCATACAAACCCAAAGACGAGCGTACCCCTAATATTACAGCTTGGGTCAAGAACTCTACCACCTATCCTTCCTTCACAGCACGATGAAAGTTCCCATATTGCTCCACTTAGACAGGTTCTGCAATCATGGAGTGAAAGATCTAGTGTGCACTGAGCTAGACAATAAAGTGATTGATATCCAGACACAATTGCTTCCTTTGTTGCATATTTCTTGTGACCAATAGGAGCACGAGCTGCTTCATCTGCAGTTTCGTTCATGGTCAAAAACAATAAACGCATGAAGCTTTCAGGGTTTGAGACATTCTGTGTGTTAAACAGGTAAAAGTTAGGCGTTGTGGCAAGGGTGGAGAAGAAATAGGTGGGATTTGACAGCATTGTAAATGGGTAAAGTGGCACGCTACCGAAAAAAATATTTACAAACAGGGTTATTTTCGTAAAGTTACTTAATTTTCTCATTTATATTTTACCTATAACCAAACATAGATTTCATAAAAGTGACCTAATTTTTCCGGTAAATTTTTTTCCAATCAAACAACTTTTTTTTACATTTTCCTACCTATCTCACTTTCCAACCATTTTCCTATGTATAACATTTTTCTATTATTTATAAAATTTCTCCTCAACCAAACATCCCTAAGAGGCTTATTAATCTTATGTCAAAAGGAGACGACTTATTTCTATGACAAACTGAGAGTCATTGTTTACTGTTTGTAAAAAAAATATCTATAGGAGTAAAAGGACCCACGCCTTTATATTTGTGTATGAAAGGAAATATTTTTTTCAACAAGTACGAGAGGAAATATTTTTTTCAACAATATAAAAAAATATTTTTTTATTAATTATTTATCGTGTATAATTTTAAATTGAATACATTATTGATTACAAATCATAAAAAAATATAAATTATTAAGTAAGAGCTATTGATAATCAACAATTTACGTTAATCAATCTTAGAAAAATTAAGAAGGTTACACCTTTTTTATAGTTAATAAATAAATAAAAAATATTTAAAAAGTACATATATCTTATTCGGCAAAGCAATTACTGACGACCTATTTGGCAAATTAAGCCTAATTAGAAAAAAAAAATTGTCTATCTTTGTCTATTCCTTTCAATATCATTATTTTGCCTACTCTTATCAATATTGTTATATTACAATCTCATCAAACGATAGAGATTTACGATATAAAATAAACTTTTTTTCCCATTTTATCTCCCACGGTCTCTCACTCTTTCTTTCTCCTCCCTTTTCTCTTTCTTCAATGGCGCTTTAGCATAAAAATAAGGTGCAAGCTTTTTTCTCAATTCATCCAACCCAACCATTGTTACGAGCATTTAAATCAAAAATTGAAATGGGGTGTCAAGAATAAATAAACTCAGATGCCCTGTTTTATTAAACCAGTTAGGCCTGTTGTTGGACTTAACATAGAGAGGACAAAGATTATTTCCCAACTTCAAGGTGAAAAACAATATAAGAAGAAAGAGATAAGTTGATTTGTCTCAAATTTCAATAGCAAAGTAAAAATGTTGTGATAATCGTGGATTAATTTAAATGAAGGGTTATTCGTGGTTTTTGTTTTTTTGTAATTTTGTGGTTTCTGTCATGTTCAATTATATCATATTCAAGAAATTTTGAAAATTATACTCATCTAGCAGACTATCATGCCATTAATCATTGCATTGATTTAGATTCAAATATAAATTCAAGTTGTAAATTACGCAAATCGATAGAGAGAAAATGGGGGGAGAGAAAAAAAAGTGTGAGAGACAATGAGGACAAAGAAAGAGAAAATGAGTTTATTTTATTCTATGAATCTCTACCGTTGGATGAGATTGTAATCTAACGATGTTGAGAGAGATAGGCAAAGATAGAAAAAATAAAAGTAGGCAGAATAATATATCCTAAAAATGACAAAAAAAATAATTTAATGTTTTTTAATTAAAAAATTATAAATTTACAACTATTTTCAAAATAATTACGCATTTTTTGCATAATGTCGCCTCATTTGAGTGTCACATATCACGCCCAAAAAGGGCGTCACGCCCAAACCAGGCGTGACATGTGACGCCCAAATGGGGCGTCACCCACCAACCCTATAAAACTCCTCATTTTTTCATTTTTACCATTTCATACTCTCATTCTAACCTCTCTCTAACCAAGGTGTGCTCTTGACCATACGTGGAATTTTCCGTAGCGAAGCTCTGCTAACATAAGTAAGTTCTTAATATATGTTATGTGTACGTTTAAATTACAGTGCTGCATTACAAATATGTTAGAATTTATCGTATATTAGTGACTTAAGAATTTTGTACCATGCTATGAATGCTTTAATGACTTAGGAATTTTTTTGTTACGTAGCTATTATTATTATTTAATTATGTATTGGGTTTAGTGTATATTAGTGATTTAGAAAATAATGATAGTGACTTAGAAATTTTGTACCATGTTATGAATGTTGTAGTGACTTAAGAATTTTTTAGTGACTTAGGTATTATTATTATTATTATTATTTAATTATGAAATAATTAGTGACTTAGGTATTAGTATTATGTCATTACAAATTAATCAGTGTCTGAGGTGTTATTATTATTTCATTACAAATAAATTAGTGTCCTACGTATTAATATTATTTCATTACTTACAATTGTAGTAAATACGTAGGGTTTATGCTTAATAAGTTTGATAGTAAATTAGGGCTTTGCTTAATTAATTTGTAAATAAATTTTGCTGTTACGTGTGATTAATTTCAATGTTATTTTATACAGCTTTTTATCATGGGTAATTCATCATCATCTGGGGGTTCTGCATCCGATCACGAGGCAGAGCCTACCGATCCTACTATGTATATCATACCTGAGCCGTATAGATAGGAGGTCCTTTGGAAGAGAACACACAGTGCCCATATTTCACAGCGGGTGTGGAATACGAAAAATGTGCATCAGTTGAAGACCAAGCATGGCAAGGTACAGGGGGGCCACCTACCGGCGCTATTCCAGACGTGGTCGTCGACTAACTCACACCGACTGAATTTATACATGTTGCACGCATGCGACATATTCAGTATGCAATTTCCGACGTTGCAATTTATGTAGTTATGCAATACAATGACATAAAATGTGATAATTGTATAATTTATTTCACATTGATGCCCCATAGATTAGTGCTCTGGTTGAGAGGTGGAGAACAGAGACACATACTTTTCACATGACAAATGGTGAGATGACTATCACCTTGCAGGATGTGGCCGGCATATGCCCGAGCATGTTAAGAACCTTGGGATACACACCCCAAAAGCTAGCTCAAAGGGTGGGAGTGCCCAAGTCCTTATAAACTCCACATTAGTTGCTTATACAACCAATGTGAGACTATATATCTCAACACGCCCCCTCACACGATAGCCCATTGGGCTTGAAGAGTGGAAGATGTAACAGGCCCAGCCTACCTGTGCTAAAAAAGTCCACAAGAGAAAGTGGGGGGCGGCGAGGCTCTGATACCATGTAAAGAACCTTGGGATACACCGCCCCAAAAGCTAGCTCAAAGGGTGTGAGTGTCCAAAGCCTTTATAAACTCCACATTAGTTGCACATATAACCAATGTGAGACTGTATATCTCAACATACCTTCGTCCTTCAACATCATATGCACACGACCACTTTTCATTTGGGATGGCATCAATCCACTCAGCAACCTGAGGACTAGCTTCACATAATCTCGCAAGACCTCTTTCAAAGTCAACCATTGACGGAGTATAACCTACACATAAATCCATTATTGTACAGATGTAAGAGATGTAAGCCATAAACAATTAAATAAGTACAGTTCAGCCAAGTATACCTAAATTCTTTAATGTCCGCTTCAATCTGTCATTTCGAAACTTCTGATTGAAGTCGTTTGCAATGTGACGAATACAAAACACGTGATATGCATTTGGTGGCTGCCAATTACGGTTATTCTCCACAGCAGATATTATGTTACGATGTTGATCGGAGATGATGCATATGTTTGACATTTCCGTAACATGAGCACGGATATTAACAAGGAAATAGTCCCAGGCTTCCAAGGTTTCACCTTCAACGATGGCAAAAGCAATCGGTAAGCATTTTTCATTTCCATCTTGGGCTGTGGCCACCAACAATTTGCCTTTGTACTTCCCATATGAATGTGTGCCATCAATCTGTATGACTAGTTTGGCAAATTTGAACGCCTTACAACACTGTCTAAACGTCCAAAAGTTTTGATGAAACATTTTTTTCCAGGAACTAAGCCATGCTCCACATAATAATCATTTGTTTGAATATGATAAAAAGAATCTGGAGAAAAGCGAAGCATATATTCACACCACCTCGGGAAAAAAAACATACGATTCATCTAAATCACCGTACATAATTATAATCCCTTCCTGCTTTGCATACCATGCCTTTCTGTACGAAACTTTAAATCCATGTTTAAAGGTTATCTTTTCCTGAACCAATGCAATTGAGACTGATGGTTCTTCCCTTATCATCCCTGTCAATTAAGAGATTACATTCACATTACGTAGAACGCGTTTAATTACACAAACCACTTTAAGTCTTTAACAGTTGACATCTCATTAAGACAGAATATATACATAGAACGAGCTCTGCAATGATGTCAGCATCGAGCTGTTTATGACCCTGAGAAATGTGGTCATTCAAATAATTGTGATCCCCACTCCATCTGGTAATCTTCCAATTTTTACCAAACACTGGTTTTATCGCCCTAACGCGCCACAGGCAACCTTGATCATATGTGCAACATTTCATGCTTAACTTTGCAGGCGTGCTCTCAATTACAATTGCATTTTCAGTGCCATTTGATCCTCTCTTTTTTTGCAAATTCTTGGTTCACAAATAACTTGTCACCCAGTTGCCACGGACCTTGTATTGATCCCGATCCTGAAACCGAACCATCAGTGCATGATTCTTGTTCGCTCCGATAACTACAATCAATATGTATGTAATGCAAAATTCCTTCCCAAAAAGGAATAACAGCATTGTCCCCTGCATATAGTAATTAAAACATCTTAATACAAACATCCTAAATCAGATATATAATTATTCTATAAATTACCTTCATGATGATTTCCTAATTGTGCGGAGCCAACGTCATTAAGTTGCGGATTTGAGCGTCCACTGGTTCATGGTATACTGTGATTTCAGACGCGTCCATATCACCACCTTCATATCTTTCTGAAGCACTAGCATCCTCGACCAAAAGACATTCTTCCATTGCGATATTTTCATCATCATCGTTGTCGTTGTCGTCATGCATAACCCAAGTCGGATCATTTTCATCTCCCTCATAAATGTTACCAACTGGAGAAGCATGAGCGATAGAAGTTGATGCAAGACAGGGAGAATTTAAAGCAACTGACCTCACCAGTAATGGAACATCCTCTGATCCGGCAATGTCCACATACAACTCCAGAAAATCTTTCCTTGACTGGTTGAAAAATTATTCCATTATCATCTCCACGTCTTCGTTGTCAACCACTTACAAACTAATGTATTGTTCAGATTGCCATAACCTTGTGGTGATCTGAGTGATACATTGGTTACCTCGAAGACTTAACTTCTGACGAATTCTCTGATGCAGTTCGTCAATGGTTGCGTTGTGTTGGATACGTGTCGGCCTTTTTTCACCTTCAAACATGACACCTCCTCGACCTTCTACCTTCCTACCATTGTAATATAACACAAAGACAAACAGAATCAGAATGTGAACTCATTTTAAAATGGAATAACAAATAAAATAAAAGACTAAATTTAAGATAACAATTATGTATGTAAAATGTAAGAATTGATGGTAGAGAAGAGATGTGAAGAGTGCATAGAGTAGTAGGAGATTATATAATTTTTTAACTCATTCACGCCCAGGGGGCACACAGCTGCATGTGTCACGCCCCATTTAGGCGTGACCCATGTGGGTATCACACCTAAATGGGGCGTGACATGTGAAGCCCAATTTGGGTGTGACATTGTGTAGTAGATTCGAAATTATTTTGAAAACAATTGTAAATTTGTAATTTTTTAATTAAAAAGCATTAAATTAATTTTTTTTGCCCAAAAAAAAATAGGATTAAAAAAGAAAACTAATTCTTGATAAATAAATATCAACATTATTACTATAGAGCTCTTGATTCCAACTCGAAAAGGAGAATGCTTAGAACTTCAGAATGTTATTGATACTGTTAGATGGGATAACAAGATTCAGATTTTTTGTGCTATTTATTAGCAAATACTAGAACTTTAGTTATGCATGTCAGATTTTATATTGTTTAATATTTTTTTCACTTTTTTTTTTATCTTCAATAAGTCCAAAATGATATTATTTTAAGGTTGAAAAAAATATTTGTTATTTTTTTTTTGGTAAACTAAATATTTATTTTTTAAAAGGATATATTAGATAAAACAACATTGTTTTGGTGCATAATTAGTTATTTTTTATATTATTTATTTTTCATAAAATCAAGAAGAGAGAAAGTGAAGAAGAGAGAATATAAAAAATACTAAATATGCACCAAAATAATGTTGTTTCATTTAAAATGGCACAAAATTATATATTTTTTCGATATCTTTTAAAACGACAAATTTATTTTCTTTTATAATTTTTTTTCTCTAAACCTAAAATAACCTCCGTTTTCGGAGATAATTTTATCGTAGAGAAACATTAAACTTATTCTTATATATTGCTATTAAAATGGGTTATACTTAATGGGTTTGCATAATTTTTTTGATTGTTTTTTGATTTTTTATTCTTAAAACTCTTTTATAGAATAGTTATCACATGTTTTCATTATTACTATTTTGTTTTGAATATTAAAAGTTAAAACACTAAATAAAAACAACTCAGAACATTTCTCTAAAAACAAAAATAAAAAATCAAATGGTGGTAACTCAGTTGGTGCATGAGAGCTAAGCAGGTGGGGTGAGAGCATGTGTTCGAATCTTCCAAGTACCATCTTTAAGAGGGATTTAAAGCCTTAATCCTGGATCCGCCCCTAATCAGATTAGTTGCGAAACAATAAATCGATTGGAATATTTAAAAAAAATAGTTACAACTTTTAGAAATTTTTTTTATAAAATAAATCTTACCAAACAAAGTTTTTTATATTTTGTTCTGAAAAAAAAAACTGTTTTTGGAAACAATAATCAAACAGGCCTAAATTTTAACTGCGCTAATCTAAATCCAAAATCTATACTAACTTAATTTAAGCCAGGCCAACTTTTCTAACCCACCAAACGGTGCGTGGCCAACATTAACTAGCCCAGCATCAATAACAAGTTGGGCCATAATGCTGTTGCCCCAACCATTTAGCAATAGACTTGTTTAAAAGGCTTAGCTTTAAAGGCTTAGACCTAATTTCAATAACAAGTTGGGCCATAATGCGTGGCCACCAAACGGTGATGTCTATGAATGGATTAGCTTTAAAGGCTTAGACCTAATTTCGTTTAGATTTTGATATAATTGCTACTAAAATAATTGATTTGTATATGAGAAATAATATTTTAATAACTTGTTAAAAAGATATTTATATGCTAACAAAACAAAGTAAAATCACTTTTATTTTGGTACAATAGAAATAATCAATTATAATTACTGTTTTCTCAATGCAAATATCATATTATAAATTCAACCTCACTGATAAATATAACTGAGAAGGTATACCAATCATTTATTTATTTTTTCAAATGACTTTCACTGCCAATAAACATATACGTTTAAAGCTGTCCAAAATTTTAACCATACAAACTTTTAAAAATATGTTTCGTGGAATTTATTTGACACATTTAAGTAGCAGTAGAGGAAACTTCCAATTCAAAAATATTGAAAAGTAAACTTCCAATCTTTACAATATATGTTGTAAAAATTGAAAAGTAAACTTTCAATTCGAAGCTAACATTTATAAATAAATCAGGGTTTAGGGGGTATATTTAGGCAAAATTGCAATATATCAGCCTTCCAGTCTATAAATAAAGGGAAAACATTGTCTCATTTTATATGAGATAACTATCTCATGTTTCTCTCACATAAAAAGTTATGACATCATTTTTTTTCTTTTTTTAATGGATGGTGGGCTCCACCATATTATGTATCTATAGTAGGAGATACTTATCTCCTACAACATGAGAAAAATAGAACCCATAAATAAATCATGTTGCATCAAGACTAGCATCTATTGCTCTTAACATACAGTACTCTTTCGATAGATAATCGAATGTTAAAAAAATTCCATATCAAACTCGAAGTGCCATGCTATTATTACTTAATTTTCTTATTGTGAAGGCATAGTTTTTTTTTTCTTCAAATAAAAAACTCATTGGTGCCAAGCGTGAGGGAATGCTAAACATTTGGTAATTTCTCCTCCTGCTGTTCTTATCAAAACATTCCCCCAAAATCAATTTCAAAAACATCAAATATGATGCATACATATCTCATGATCAATCATAAACATAAAACGATTTAATAAATCAATTCAAAAATATTGCAATGTTTCTTGATTAATATTCAACCACAAAATTATAAATAATTCTTCAATCCACAATATCCTTCCATAACACTTTCTCAATATCATTAAATCAAAGTCAAATATTATAAAAGTTATTTTAATTAAATAAAATATAATATATCCTTAAAATTTACACTTTCCAAAATACTAAAATAATAACATAAAGCGTTTCAAATACTTAAACTCTAAAAAATAGACATATCATAAATTTTATAAAAATTATACAAATAATTCAGCAAAACAAATCGCATAACTCCGTTTTATGTCACCTTTTCCCTTAAAAATATTTGAGTATCAAACACTCCATCTTTTTATTTATGAAGGCATTGTATAATAAAACAACAAATTAAATTGAAAAAAATAAAATTAAAGTAATGATTGGAGAGTCCCCATAATTTATTCACAAATACCCTGCATCGATAAAATAAAACTCAGAAATAATGTCCAATCATAATGTTTCTTGACGTGGAGATGGGACATTGTTATTTTCAAATGTCAATTGTATTCTTTGCATAGTCGCGAGTCAACATTGCTTTCATATTACCACTATTTGGATGAAGCAGCCCCTGCCATCTACCTTGACCAATCCATAATCTAATGCAGAACTGTCACATGCAGTAGCACATGATGTTATAATATATGTGTTCTTGCCCATGTGACTCTGCACAAAATCCATGTAAACTATTATGTACAAATGATCTCCAGCCAAGATCAATACATTCTCAACGTTTGTGCGCGTGACATATATCCTCAAGTACCTATGAAATAAAGCGTGTAGTCCCAATGTACCCAAAAAACAAAAAACGTGTAGTCCCACTCTCCCATGATATCAAGTGGAAGCTTATAACACTTTTATCAAAATTTTGTTTAGATGTCAAGTTTAGATGGCTGACATTCCCCTTTCTATTTCATAACTTAGAGTTTGTTTTAAATATATACAATCTCAAATTCAGTCATTAGATATATATGGTGTCATGTGATGTGAGTTTGAGCTACGACATATTACGAATAAATGCCTTTAAAAATTATTTTCTCTATAAAAACATTAATTTACATGTTGTTTTGTTTCCTAAAAGAATGAATGAACCATTGATGCATCACCCTCGTTAGTGACTTGGTATAGTACAAGTTCACGACGTCGACCGATAGCACAATGCAAGGTTCAATAATAAGAATAAGCACTAATAACATGATCGGTTATGGCTTATATTTCAAAATATATAACGAAGGAGAAAAAAAGTTCACTAACTAATAAAGGGAACATATAGTAACCTGTATAGGAGAGATAAGGGTATTGCCATGCAGAAATTAAAAGGTAAAGTGTTAAGAGAGCTTGATGGATCCAGTAAGCACCCACAAAGCTAGTTAAGGAAACAAGCATGATACGGATGCTAAGGATCACAATGGTTCACCATAAGTTGTATGTACTTAATAGCTAATTAACTTGATGCTAGCGGCCAGATGCTAGAGGCAACAATGAGTATTGAGGCCAATGTGTGGCTATATATGAAGATCAACATTGTTGTGATGTTGTTGCTGACCCTCTCCAAATGGATTTTCTTTACTTTTGGAATCATAAAAATGAGTTTATATGAAATATATAGATGACTTTTAGAGAGAGATATGTTGGAGGTGTGGTTGCCTTTATTGACTTGTGAGGCAAAGCCCTCGTGAGAAAGATGGAAAAAATCTCATAGCTTTAGTATATATTAATCTAAACAAACTAAATGACGAAGTAACTAAAATATAATTAAATCATGTTGGTTTGTTATCAAACTACATGACTCTTCCAATGAAAACACTTTATCCCTCTTTCAAGAAGCATGGGGCTAAAAAAAGAGACATAAAAACATGAATCCATATGATTGGCACATATTTATTATCATTTTAATATGTTGAGTTGCCATGTGAATCACGACATTACAATTAGACCTTTAATTTTTATTTATTTATTTACTAATTGAATTGTCAACTTACAAATTTGTCAAAAAATTAAAACCAAATAATATTTTCAATCTATCTTTTAGAAATATCAATGCATAACACATTATTTAAGTTGACATGAAACATATTAACTTGCTTTACCATCTTAATTTGTCCAAGATAACCATAAAAAAAAAATCCATCTTTAATAAATTTGTATGGCATGAACTCAGACTTTTTTACCCTTTTACTCTTAATTAAATAAAAAATAATGATTTTATTTCTGTTCCAAAACTATACACATATCTGTCCCTATTTAATCGATTACATGATATATGTAATCGATCATCTGTCGAAAATTTATTTTATTCGACTAATTGCAACTCTTTCTTACTCAGTTTTGCATTCTCGGCTTCTCTCTGAAACAGAGCATGGCTTCTCTTGCATTCTTTTTTTTTTCATCCTCGTCTCGCTCTGTGCTTCATCAACCTCGGGTAAACATGTCTCTCATTCTTTCTCTCTCTTAAAAATCCAATATATTTTTTATTCTGAATTATGGCTCTATTGATTCATTTACATGACTTTTTTGATGGTTTTTTGCAAAACAGGTGAACTGAAAATGTTGTATATTAAGTGTGCGCCAGCAAGCAGGAGTTGCTATGACGAAAATATTCTTGGAATGGAGGAAAAATTGGCTATTCATTCAACATTTTAGAAGTATTAATGATGCCATAATACAACAAGACACAACCAAAACCAATGTTTAGATACTAAAATGGTTATGGATGTTATTATAAATATTGTATGTCTAGTGATGAAGATGAGCTTCAGCGTCGTAACTCAGCCTTGAAGATGCACTGTCGATGGATATGTGAAATGAATACTTGAGTGAGGAGGAAGATGTACTTTGGTGCGATAAGCACGAGCGAAGAGAATGAATATTCGACACTTAATCGATTAAGTAGTAGATTAAAATGAATTTTCAAAAGTTAATCGATTAAATATACATGTAATCAATTAAACAGGGATAAATCAGTGTATAGTTTTGGAACGGGGCAAAGTGATTATTTTTTATTTAATCAAGAGCAAAATGGTCAAATAGCTTGTATGAACTCGCATAAAAGTTATATTATTTTGTAAAATATTAGAAGATATACAACAAAATTTGAGTACAATAATTCATTGATGTTTCATTATGCACTATTTCGTGGCGGAGCCACATTAGGGCATGATGGTATCTTGGTCCCGAATAATTTTTGAAAATTATTCATGTTTAAATAACCATAATTAATTTATAAGCTGATTTTTAAAAATTAATTACGATTGCTATACTGACTCGGCCACTTTGTATATATATTCATGCAAGGGTTACAAATATACAAGCTTAATTACTATCTTGTATGGAAAGCTATGAGATTGATTTTTTCGGATATCTCTCACATATACCACTATGCCAAAACCATGTGGTAGTCATAATATTATTGTTAATATATTGAATATTACATACTATTATATAAATTTAGTTTAAATGATTGAATCAACGGCTACCTATTGAACTAGTGATTTAATATCTCAACCGAATTAATAATTGATCCAAATATAACAATTTTGATGAAGAGAAATTGAATAAGAAAATACATAAATTAAAACTACGGTGATACAAAATTGTGTTGGAATCACACAACACACAAATAAAAAACAGTAGAGAAAAAATGAAGAAGAGTGGACACTATGAATTAATCTTGGTTCATCAAATGTAGACTATGTCCAACTTGTCTATAATATATTCTCTTTATCGACACTATTTATAAGTTACTCAGTTTATATGAAGAATATAAATATGATTTAGAAACCTTAACAACAATTATTTATTGGCTCAATCTCAAACAATTAAAGAAAAAAATACAACAGATCAAAGCATGCGCGAAATATGAGCCATATCGAACAATTGTGATTGAAAAAAAATACTTGAATAAAAAGTGTTACTTTATAAAACACAAGAATCTCTTAGTGAAGAAGCTCAAAGTTCGTGAGTTAGCCTAATTTTTTTAGACACAACTATAAACTATGTCAGAGTTAAATATTTCCTCAAAACATTAATTTCATCCATTGTGTCTTTATTATTGTAATTGTTAAATGAGTTTTATTAATTTTATATTAAAAAAGATAAGATATCTCATGTAATAGAGATAAATTTGTGGGTTCATCACTTGAAAAAATAAAAAAATAAAAGAAAAAAAAATGTGGCACAGTTATCGAAGGATGGGTAAGAGAAAAAATTTATTTCATGTAACATAAGAATAGTTTTTTCCTGATTAAATCTATGTAATTTTTATAAAGAGAGTTATTAGACTTAGGGGGCGTTTGGTACATGGTTTTTTTTCCGGATTCCCGGGAAATTAATTTTTTTAAAATTTTTAATTTTCAGATATTATCATAAACTAAATGTAAAAATTATATTTTTGAAAATTGAAATTTCTGGATAAAAAAAAATTTCTCCTCTACCGAATGCTCCTTATAATATTTTGTGTGCGCTTATACTAACAAAAGTATAGTATGAAACATTGCTCACATTGGTTAGATTTTTTACACCCAATAATTTTTGACAAATGAATTTTTTCTCATTTTAAATTTCAAATTCTACCGTTTTGGTCAGGCCCTTTTTTAAGGCGTTTCTTTTGATAAATCCAACAAAAACCGCAGATATAAGAAAAAATGTATATTAAAATAAAAAAAATATGTAAAGTAATTCTGTAAAAGCTGGGTCCACCTCGAGAGTGTGCACTTATATAACATATTTCTTTCAGAGACATTTACCACACATTTAATTTATCAATAAATGTATATGTTTTTTATATATTCAGCATTTATTTTCTGTTTCTCAAAAATTTAAATAAAATTAGATATCAATATCTTACTAGAATTAGAGAAAACCCCATTGAAAATTTTCTTATCATTCATTAATAAAATCTTCACATCAATTGACGGAGTTTGAATTCAGGATGTAAACCAAATGCCAACTGTACCCACCTCTAGGCTATATTCAGCATTTAATTTTAGCTTTCATGGTAAAAAGAAAGAGTACAAATTAGCGATGACGATGGCGATGGCCCAGGGTAGGTTCTGGAAAAAAAAAAAAAAAAAAGTCAAAAAAAACGTAAGAACGCATAGCAGAGTGGAACTGCCCGTAGTGTATACTAGCTCGAGCATGCCGTGAAGAGTGCTTAAAATATGGGAGAGAAATATTAAAAAAAGAATATAAAAGAAGTGAAGAAAAAACAAGCAATGAAGACTTTTTAGAATGTTAGAAGTCGAAGAAGAAAAAGACTAGGCATAATAAAAGAAAATATATAAAGGGAAATAGAAGTATAATGTTGTAGGAAAATATTTAGGTAATGTTATAGAGATAGAGATGGTAGGACCCACACTTGTTTATTTTTTTGATTTTTGAAAACAAGCGTGGGTCCCACCATCTCTATCTCTATAACATTACCTAAACATTTTCCTACAACATTATACTTCTTTTTCCCATAAAGGGAAATAGAAGTATAATGTTGTAGGAAAATATTTAGGTAATGTTATAGAGATAGAGATGGTAGGACCCACACTTGTTTATTTTTTTGATTTTTGAAAACAAGCGTGGGTCCCACCATCTCTATCTCTATAACATTACCTAAACATTTTCCTACAACATTATACTTCTTTTTCCCATAAATATATATATATTTTCTTAAAAAACTAAAAAGAAAGTCATCCGTTTCATTTTTCTCTGCTATTTCTCTGGTCTCTCGGGCTTCCAATCTTGTCCATTTTTCCATTTCGTTTTTCTCTCTTCGACTACTCTATCACCAGAACTCGCATAGGTTTAAGCCAAGCCCTCTTCGTTGAGGTACGTGTCGCACCGTCTCTTACTAATCTTTTGGTTCTGGAGTTTTCGGATTTTAGGGTTCTTTTGGGGTTTTCACTGTTTCTCACCCTTTTTCTGTAAGATCAGTGAGGAGTTCGTCCATATACGGTCTGGATTTGTTTAATAAGCTGATTTGAGGGCTTTGATTATTTTGGATATATATCTATTTTTTTTTTATTTTTTTTAATTCTGGAGTTCGTTTGTATCTTGTGGGTGTTTTTTGCTCTTTCTCCTTGTTATTTTGACAATTTCTCTTTGAATTTCGCTTGCTTTTGTATATGATATATGATGAATTTGTAGCTAGTGGAACTTATGGTCTCTTAGCAGGGATTTTTTTTTTTTTTGTTCTTTTGAAAAGTGATTATGTTCCAGAGAAGTCTTATTCTGCGTTGATTTGCACAAGGATATGCCCCTAAATCTAATCTTTGATGGTTTATTATTCCAAGTTATTTTTATAGAGCGTTATGTTTATTTTACTGTTTTTCCTTTTTCTTTTCAACAGCTTGCGTCATATGCATTTGATTCCCAGTTTTGAATTAAATGATGACGTGGGATACTACTAGGGTTTTTAATTTGGTGATGTTAACTAGATCGGCTCTTCTTTTGTCATAAATCCCGGGATTGTAAAAGGTGGGGGTGGGTGGGTTGCCTTTGTTGCTGTAATTGAAAGTTATTTATTACAATGAGAAAAACTTCTGTGGTTTTATTTTGGTACTAGGGTTTTTCCCAGGAGGTTTAATTTACAATTTCTGATGCTGAAGAAATAACAAGACTTGGAGGCTTTGCTCTTCTGTGTGAAAAATGTTGGACGGTGGCTCAAAGTTCCCTGGAATAATAGACCTCAACAAACACAATAACTACTATGATTTTTCTCAAGGCTTTTACCATAAGCTTGGGGAGGGTACCAATATGTCAATTGACAGCATTGGGAGCTTGCAAACAAGTAATGGTGGAGGCTCTGTTGCGATGTCCATTGATAATAGCAGTGTTGGGTCCAATGATTCCCATACTCGCATGTTGGACCACCAAGGGCTGCGGAGGCGTGCCAATGATAACTACTCTGTGGCACATAGTGTCAATCGTCGGGGAAGAGTTACACATGCTTTGAGTGATGATGCTTTAGCTCAAGCTCTAATGGACAACAGTTCTCCGACTGAGGGGCTTCGCAATTTTGATGATTGGACAATTGATTTAAGGAAACTTAATATGGGTGAGGCTTTTGCTCAAGGAGCTTTTGGGAAACTCTATAGGGGTACTTACAATGGTGAAGATGTTGCTATCAAGATCTTGGAGAGGCCTGAAAATGATCCAGCAAAGGCTCAGTTGATGGAACAGCAATTTCAGCAGGAGGTCACAATGCTGGCTACGCTAAAGCATCCCAACATAGTTCGTTTCATTGGTGCGTGCCGTAAGCCAATGGTATGGTGCATTGTAACTGAGTATGCCAAAGGCGGTTCAGTTCGACAGTTTTTAATGAAGCGTCAAAACCGATCAGTCCCCCTCAAATTGGCTGTCAAACAAGCTCTGGATGTTGCACGGGGGATGGAATATGTTCATGGCCTTGGGTTCATCCACAGGGACTTGAAATCTGACAATCTTTTGATTTTTGGTGACAAATCAATTAAAATTGCCGACTTTGGAGTTGCTCGGATTGAGGTGCAAACTGAAGGAATGACACCTGAAACTGGAACATACCGTTGGATGGCTCCGTAAGATTATTTACTGTTCTTTTTTCTTTTGATATTAAATTTGATATGCATTCTGGCTTCATGTTTCTGAAATTTTGTTTTTGGAACAAAAGTAGATATTTATTGAAGGAAAGATTGCTAAAATTTAAGTGCTGCTAAAAAACAATTGATCCTTTTTTTCTAGGGATCAATTTCTTGTTTTCTTTATTCATAATTAGTTGTTTGTGATCCTGAACGGAAATGGAAAATACTGCTGAAACAGGAATTGTGCTATTTTGTTATTAGTTGTATATTCTTGGTGTCCAATTTGTTGTTTTCATCTAGCCTTGCTTATTGGCGGAGCAGGTTAATCTTGTTTTTTTTTTTTTTTTTTTTTAGTTTTAGCTTAATATTTGTTCTAGAATATAATTGTGACAAATTTCTTTTAATCACATTCTCACACTGTATTCTCATCATTATCTTTTGTGTATCAAGAAGTGGAGGAAATCTCCTTCTGTCTCTTTTGTTTTGACTCAACGGGTAAGGGAATGTCTGCACTGCATTGGACTAACAGAAAAGATAATTGTGGCCAAGTATTTAAAGTGCAGCTTGGGCCTATCATTTGTTTAGAAGCAATTTCTGGTGATAATGCCAGTTTCGAGAAGTTGCCATTAATGGAAGTTACCGTGGGCGTTTGCAGTTTAAAAATGCTGATCCTGTTTTCGGATCCTAGATATTATTTATGGGAAAAATGTTTATCCTTTTAAATGACACAACTTATATTCTTTAACTCTCTTAAAGAGGTGAGACCCACACCTTTATTTTTTTTTGTTAACTCTCTCTCCTCCTTTATTTATCTCTTTCTCTCTCTTAAAATGACACAACTTTACATCCTTTAAAATGACACACACTTTTCCCATTATTTATATTCTTTTTAGACTGTTTTGTTTTTCTTTTGACTGTACTCAGTCATGGTTGAGGGCTGACAAGTTCTTTTTAATGATGATGCCTTCAATATTTTTCGCATCTAATTTCTGTTTTGCTTTCGTGCTCCCCAGCCTACCCCATTCCTTGCTTGGAAAATGATATATTTATTTTGCATCCACACTGCATGAACAATTAAACATGTGGTCTGAACTTAGAAAGTTTGGCTGGAATAATTTGCAAATCTCATGCGAGAAAAGTTTTCTTTGCGTGTGTTCTCACTTCTCGGTAACTTGATATATTTGTGTAGATGTGTTACTCTCTGCTGGCAAGCAGCTAAATCCTATCATGTGTTAAAACCTATTGCTCATTCATCATACAAATCCATTGTACATATGTATTTGTTCCAATAAAAAATTAATTACTAGTCCATGTCAATCAGAAGTTGGGCAAGTCAAACTGAGCGTGAGAGTGTGATAGGTGCCAGTCAGGAAGGAAACAAAACAGATAAAAAAAAAAAAACACGAACCAGCTACTCTGGCCGAGCCCCCCCCCCTCCCCCCCCCTCCTCTCTTCTCAAGCACCTCACAGCAACCCACACACTACTATTCACCAAATTCTTTCTTACTCCTATTCTTCCCTACTCTACTCTTTATTATTTTTCCTGACAAAATTCTGTTATTCCTACTACTCTACGTGGCACCCTAAGGCTCCACTACGTCTCCTGCTCTTCCACTACGCCTGTGCCTAATGTTTTAAACACCACACTCCACTGATAATAAGGGTTTATCAGAGTGAAATGAATTAAAAGAGCTTTGGCTTCAGAAGTGACATTTTCTTTTGCCATAGCTTGGTTTTGAGTAGGTAACCTTGTTGTGGCTTTGGGGTAAGTCACTAAGCTTGGGTAATGAAGTTAAGTTGTTTATGGCACTTGTTGGTATTTACTAGGGGCAATTGTGGCAGAATGGGTTTTGTTTCTTGTATTTGGCTTTAGATGCTCAAAACAGCTGTATGTTTAGGTCTTTTATGTGTTTGTTATTTGAATATTAGAATGATATTGTTATGGCCCTAGATTCTCAAAAGGTAAGAATTGTGGTGTTGGGTTTGGGAAGAAGGAAAGAAAGGGAAAATAAGAGAAAATAGTCGTATTATTGATGCATGACCAATGAACGAATACAAGAGTAAATCCTCTTACAAGGGAATTCTCCTTCGCACTGGGTAAAGCCTCAGTTCTACAACAAAATATCAAAAAGTATCTATCAATAGGGGTTAACCTCCCTTATATATACACTGTATGGGTTTCCCTCGTAACTCTCTAATGGCATAATAACTGCCTTATTAATTGCTACCACTTACCCTGGGCTGCTACTAACTGCCCTCAACAGAACTAACCACTATCTAAGGTATATTTCACCCTGCGGTAATATACTTGCCAAGCTGTAAGTTGCCCCCTATTCCTAATACGGGTCATAACAGATATGGCAAGTCAAACTTGAAATAAGGTAGACAGGATGGGGTAAGATGAAGATAACTTTCATCTTCACGTGTGTTTCCTTCAAGGTAAGGATAGATTGGAGTTAAAGAAATATACCATCATGCTTTCTCTCCTGTGACCCATTTTTGGGTGATCTGGCTGTTGGCCTATATTGTCCCTTTAAACAATTTGTGCTTCAACCCTACATTAACTAAGCATATTTGATAGGGTGAAAATGTGAAGTTCTTTAGATTTTGAGTTGGAGGTTACTAATAAATAAGGGGGTAAATTCCTACTGCTTTACCATTATTATCACCATTTCATACGATCTCAAAGATAATAAATTTTGTAATATTAGCTGTGAAATTAGATTTTTTTGTTTTAATTGCATTATCTTTTTAATCTTACCAATATATTGACATGCTTCTTGAAAAATCTTCCGAGTTGAATGCATATTTACTCAAGGATTGCTTTATAGCCAAATGAAAGAAAGTAGTAAAGTTTTGATAACGTGTTGATTAGCTCTCTCTTTCCTTGGTTAAAGGAGAAAATATTAATTAAAGGAATCTATTTGTTGGCTGTTAAAGATAAATCCTTTTTGCTCTTTATTCTTTTTCGGTTTGCTAATTGCTGTCTAACAGACCTGATTAACGTAATTTTACTCGGTGCATCTATCTGTGATGCGATTGTTGTGTACAGACCTTTAAGATTGCTGCCCTGTGACCTGGTGATCACGAGATCTAGTCACGGAAAAATTCTCTCCAATTATAGGCATATGGCTGTATACATCTAACCCTCTCCAGACGTCATAGTGGTGGAAGCTTGATGCATTGGCAGCCTGTTTTAATATATAGCAACCTGCATAATCATGCCTTGAGCTGTAGCTTTGGAGTTTACAGTCTACAATATCATAGTAGTGTTATGAAATATGAAAACCCTTTGTTTGATTATGGGCATATCCTATGACATGTCTGCATTTTCACATGCATATCTTGTTGTAGATACTATCTTGTCTTGACTGATAACAGTTATTGCATGATGAGGTGAAATGTTTGGGTTCTGTCTACATTGGGTGTGTAATTTGCCGTGTTGTAATTTTTTGACCACTTTTTTGTTTTCTGGTTTGAAATAGGTTCGAGTAATTGTTTTTTGGTTTGGACCTTTGTGCTTTAAGATAAGTTTGATATTGATTACATGCACGTTATATGTACCGGTAATATTTAATGCACGGCTCTTAGAGTGTTAGCTTGATTTGTGCCATTATACTGTTTGATTAGTTACTTTAACTGTATTATGCAATATGATTTTGTCTTGTTACAGAAATGGTAACATAGTATCTATATGGAGGATTCTGAACGGTTAAGATTATGGTTTCTTGTGGCTGACTCCAAATACTTAGAATTAAGGCTTGTGTTTATTGTTGTTATTCTTTAGGTGTTTTGACATTACATATATTCTATGCAAAACAAAAAGGGAAACATGCTTGTAGTTATAGACAAGGATGTTGAACCACAGTTGATTTTGTCGCCATGTGACCCAAAGGTCAGAGGTTGGATTCATGTAGTTCATCTTTTGTAATTGCTAAGAAAGATTAGTCACTATAGACCATTCTGGACCCTACAGAGAGTGGGAAGTTTATAGGACCAGGTTGCCCTATTATAATGAAAAGAGAGAAGCAATAGAAAAACAACTAAGGGAGAGGATGAAAATAGCGGAAAATAAGATTGGGATGGTAAAAGAAATTTTATTATTGTGATAAGAAATTTTAAGACCACATGGTTTTGGTAATTATTTTCTGCTCTATCTTGTTTATTGGGATTCACTATTTAGTTTCTTCTTGTGGTGAGTGAGGTATGTCATAGCAACCATGGTGCTTGTAGCAGAAAACTAGAGCGTTGATGAGTTGCAATAATATTGAAACTTTTTCTGGAAATCATGTGGAAGGAACTGGAATCTTTTTCATTTTGGGACATTCTTTTCTAATAACTTTGTTAACTTTCCAGTGAATCTTGGGTATACCCACAGGGCTTGCAGGAGTGAGAAGTAAAGTGTTTTAATGACCTGCTTTATATGCTATTCTATGGTGTCTTTTTTGGTTGGGAGGCAAATGCTTGAATTTTTATGGGAAAACTTTAACCCTTAGATTTGCTTTGAGATTACATTATTTTGATCGATTCTCCTATGCTGTTCAAAGGTCAATATTTATGAAGATTTCATTGTCGGACATTCAGAGGAATTGGAATGTTCTGTAGCTTTAATTCTTTCTTGCTTCTTTTTTTTTGGGGGGGTGGGGGGATGATATCTTTACCATATTCATTCCTTGTTTTTCTTATTTCATTGTAATACTATTGTTCTTCTATTGAATGAAATATGCTGTTAGCTGTCTAGAACTAGCTAGTACTCGATAAGTGTATTAAGGAGATTTATGCAATTAATTTAGAACCTATTATTAGAAAATATATGGGCAGCTCCATTCCTCAATTGTGTAAGATATTAATCTAATCATGTCAGCATCAGAGATATTATTTTTTATTGTTCATGATTTATTGTTTATTTTTGGCTAATATGAACCAACTTTTTTGAAGTGCTGAAATGCATAATTGGTTTTAACTGTTTTAATTTTTATTAAAATATTATTTTGATGTGATATTTAAATATGTTATTTACTGATCTGCTGCAGGGAGATGATCCAGCATAGGCCTTACACACAAAAAGTGGATGTATATAGCTTTGGAATTGTTCTTTGGGAACTCATCACTGGTATGCTTCCGTTTCAGAACATGACAGCAGTGCAGGCAGCATTTGCAGTTGTCAACAAAAATGTTCGCCCAATCATACCGAATGATTGCCTACCTGTTCTCCGTGATATCATGACAAGATGCTGGGATCCCAATCCTGATGTTAGGCCACCATTTGCTGAAATTGTAGGAATGCTTGAGAATGCGGAGACTGAGATCTTGACAACAGTTCGGAAGGCCCGGTTTAGGTGTTGCATCACTCAACCAATGACTGCTGACTGATCCTGGGAAAGCAAATGAAAAAAGGAAGTCATAAAAACATAGACTGGAAAATTTGGGGGGAAGATAAGACTCCGGTAGTGAAGGGAGACTATATAATAGCTTTGTGTTTTTGTGTGTTTTATTTCTTTCTTCTGAAGATAAAAAATGAAAATCTTATCTGGAGACTTTTTGCTTATTCGGTTTCTGTTTACTGGATGTCTGTTCTGACTTAGTAAAGAGGATATCGTGTATGTAATACATGCATGCATTAGCATTATATTTATGTATAGCTTCTGAAAGCAAGATGGAATGAGATCATGGACGATAACTTTTGCCGTTTATGTGCGTTTGCACCGCATGTACCCTGGGGACGGACATACTCCTGGGTCGGATCAATATAGGGCATAAATTCAGCCACTAAGAAATTTCTCAAGGTTATCCAGTTTTGACCTTCAATTAATAAAAGAAAAGTCGTACCTGTATGGTAATATTAGGAAAAAAGGTGGTAATTGATTCATTATAAGGTTTGGTAAATTCGGCAACAGAAGCATCATAATATTTTGGATTCTTTTTCCTCTGCAGGTGGATCTCATTAGTGTATCACTTCAAGATGTTCCACTATTGGTATCAATCTATACACGTCCTTAATTGGACTTGTTGGTCCCATAGGCCATAATGGATTAAAAAATAAAAAAAATCATTCGTTAAGCAATCACAGATGCAAACTGCCTAGCATAGTATTACTACAACTATTATCAATTTTGGAACTTTTTGACAATGTGCTAAGTTTTTCTCTCATGTTTGGGAACGTCTAACTTAATTCCTACCTTTTCACCCAAATGAACAGAAGTATAAAACCAAAGTTCGAAAATGGGATCGGTGAAGTTGAAGGCTGCGTTCGAATTGGGATTAATTGAGTGGAAGATGTGCTGTCTGGTAGTAGGGTTCTTTCTTTTGGTTTGCATATTCGTTTATATCTTTTGATGGGGCTGAGACTGCTTTTAAGTTTTTAACATTTTATATGTCTCTGTTTTCTAAGTTTTTATATAACTACTCCTATCTATTATTTGTCTTTTTCTTTTTTCCATTTAAAGGGAACTGCTCTTAATCAATCACATAGCATGAATCTGCAATTTTTTCTGTGAAGTACTTAGTTTACTGGGTTATGCTTTGACCCGATAGTGAAAGTTGGCCGCACACCCTTAGTCCCTTGAACTTCCTCCAGCTATGTATAATATTACTTTTCACTCCTTTCACGTGCTCCCTTCAATATTATTACCAGTTGTTCGTATATCCTAATATCTTTACTCATTGTCTACTGCACTACCTCCATTCTCTATATGAAACTTACAGTGCAATATTTTTTTTATTTTTTATTTTAAATTATGTTTGTTAATTTTATGATATAGAACATTATGTATAATGTTAAAACTTTAACTTTCACAGAATCTGTCATATATTCTAAACGAGCAATGCTATTTGGCATGAAAGATTTTTAAACACATGTTACTATGAATGATGTGGCATCAATCAAGTGAGAGAAAAAAAATGAAATAGTTAAAGGGAAAAAGGTAAAAAAGAGAAGTAGTGGAAGGTAAATGCAGCTTACCAAAACTTTGTTTCAGATCTACGAATTTAATTCTTTTTGTAACATTGTATTCTAAACATCTGCAACTCTTTTATTCACATAATGTTTAAGTAAATTGATAGAGAACAATGAATAAGTCTAATTTATAATTAACAAAATAACAATATTTTCTTATAGGAGTAATAAAATTAACATTGTTTTATTGTCAATGCATTGATAAGATCCTTGTCTTTGAAAAACAAAAATAGGTAATAATAACGATATAATAATTTCATAGGTTTTAATTAATGCATTTTAATACGGGAATAAAAATAAGAAGAATATGACAAGAAAGGAACGTAAGGAAATTAAAGCAAACATCTAATTAAAATTCTGCCCATCTCCAGTAGTATAAGAGTAATGTTGCACCTTCAACACACAATAATTCATCCAGTCAAAATTCTTGCTGTCTAAAAGGGGATTCATCAATAAACGTCATTCTCTCTCTTTTTTCCATCTTTTTCTTGCTATTCTTGACCAGTATCTTACAATTAGGAAATAATTTTCATTACTCTGTGATGGGTGAACATGTTCCGAACATATTTTGATCTTTCACTGCTTAATTAATTAGTAGTCATTACTTCAAAATCAATCCATAAAAGTGCGCAGTAGTTGCACCACAAAACAATCAAGATGGTTATTTTTCTATTGCTTGGTAGTTTTTTTTTTTTTTTTTTTAATGTGATATGATATCTAACCCATTGTCGTACTATTGAGTTTAGAAGTGTACAGCCATAGCAATATTTTAGTCTGAACAAATTCTCCTCTATATTTGGTTGAGTTTTAAAGTGCATTCTGTTATTTTTTTATCAAAGGTACTACTAACCCTATGTAATAATGAGGGTCTAATCTGTGTGTTCTACTAACTGAAAAATTACCAAAAAGTGATTCGAAGAGTCAACGCTGTATTTGAAATTTTGACAAAAGTGGTTTGCTAGTGCAGATGGGTCTATCCGAATATGAAAAAACAAACACCAGCTATGGAGATTCTCAGCCCACAAATGCAGCAAGGTATACTTAACGCTTCCAGCCCAATTTTGATCCGTGCCATTAATTGATCGATGAGCAAAAAGAGCGTGCCATTAAATGAATGACTTTTTTTTACACGTTATATCTCTAATAAATTCCATTAATTAGATCACACGCAAAAAAAGATATAGACGCTAGTGAAAATTCTATAGCTTCCTTCCCAGTGCAATAAAATGACGACATATCAGATTGGGCCACTACATGTGATATTCCTTAAGTGTTTGGGCTTCCTTACACAGCTAATGGGCATGATCTGGTGTGAGAGCGCATTTCAAGCAGTCTGTAAAGGATGAAAAATGTTAGTTTTTATCCGCGGTTGAAGAAGGCACATATAGAAAGAAAACAATAACAAGATTTAAAGAGTTATGACCTTACAGAGTTACACCATAATCCTTGCGGGGTTGAAGAAAATATATAGAAAGAAGTCCGACCCTTAGCACAAACCATAATTAACTAGAGTTAAGAGTAATTAACCTTATACCATAATTAACTAGACTTGTACTATAACAAAACAAAAAGATTTATTGGACTATCAAGTTTATCCGAAGGAAATAGATGTGCTAACTTCTTCTTTAATTTGTTTCTTACTTACTCTTCAATCCCCACTGGTTTGAGTGATAAATGTAGTGTACGTGTACTATTTATGTAATATTGTGACTGGGCTCTTCTATCCCCACTGGTTTGAGTTCGTTATTTGATTCTGATAAATGTAGTGTGTATTGGATTCTGATAAATGTAGTGTGTAGTATTTATGTAATATTAGCGTTGGTGGGGTTGGGTGCCGAAGGGCTTGATGTTGATGGCAAATATCAGTTTGATAAAAGCAAAGTCAAGAGAACCAATCATAAATAACTTGGTTAGATATTGTTGTTAAAAGCTTGAGGTTGATGGCAATATGTTGGGGTGCCGAAGGGTGCTACTGTTGTACCAAGATAGATTCAGTGCATCTTACTAACAGGAGCATTACATATCATAGAAGAGAGAAAAAATTTAACAGAAAAAAAAAAAACTTTAACTGACATGTAATATTTTTATTAGTGAGATGTACTGAATCTTTGACGTAACAGTAACATCAAAAATTTATTTGTTGGTTAGAGTTGGTTAAAGGATGAAAATTTAATAAATTCTTTAACAAATAAGGCAATTTCTAATGGTTATCTGTGTTAAATCTGTGTTTGGTTTCCCGTGCTTCGATTCTCGTGTTTAATTAAATTGTCAAGGTGCTTAACGTTATATATGATTATCGTGCTGCAGTACTACCTCCATTCTCTATGTGAAACTTGCAGTGCAATATTTTTTTTAAAATAAATTATGATTGTTAATTTTATGGTATAGAACATTATGTATAAAGTTAAAACTTTAACTTTCACAGAATTTGTTATATTCTAAACGAGCAATGCTATTTGGCATGAAAGATTTTTAAACACACGTTACTATGAATGATGTGGCCGACTCAGAATCCGAAGTTTTTTTTAAAGAAAATTTTAAATGTATAGGATTTAAGCTTTTAATTATAGGGGTTGGTTGGATTGAACCCATATTAGTTAAAATCCCGATTTATATCTGTGATTTTATGATTCTATGTTTTTTTTAATTAAAACGATTTCATCAAAATTTCAAACACTTTTACGATTTTACGATTTTTTTTACGTTTTACGATTTTTTATCCTCCTTCTGATTTTAGGTAAGATCCCGATTTTAACTACTATGAAGATCCCGATTTTAACTACTATGAAGATCCCGATTTTAACTACTATGGTTGAACTTATGTTTACTTTTTTCTTTTCAATCTTCTTAAATATTTTTTTTTTTTACTTTACCTAAATCACCTACCTCTTTGAAGAAATTTTTTTTTCTAAAATATTTGTGTCTGCATGTGCAGACACATGCAACACCGTAAGTCCGCCGCTGGATGTGGCATCAATCAAGTGAGAGAAAAAAATAAAATAAAATATTCTTATATGAGTAATGAAATTAACATTGGTTTATTGTTAATGCATTGATAAGATCCTTGTCTTTGAAAAACAAAAATAGGTAATAATAACGTGATAATAATTCTTAGGTTTTAATTAATGCATTTTAATACGGGAATAAAAATAAGAAGAATATGACAAGAAAGCAACGTAAGGTAATTAAAGCAAACATCTAATTAAAATTTAATTTCTTGAGGGAAAACAAAAAGGTGGAAGCAGAAGAATAAAGTTAATTGTAATAAGAACCCAATCTATTAATTTTGATTCTCTTTAGCTTCGCCAGTCCAGTAAGTTTTCTCGGCAAGAAGAATCTTTTCTGGGTTAAAGGGTCCGCTTTCATGATCCATTATGTTGCTTTTCCATTTCATTGCATCAGTAATGGTTTTAATCTTCACGAGAAGCTCTACTCCTTCTCTGAATACAACAGTACCTTCTGGCCTCAAAATTCTGTCCATCTCCAGTAGTATAAGAGTAATGTTGCACCTTCAACACACAATAATTCATCCAGTCAAAAAACATATAATAAAACTTAGGGTTCAGTGTGTGTAGTTACAAAAGATGTAACTTGTGTTTTTTTAGTGATTTACACAAAGTCTGACTCATATTTTGTGTAAATATGAAAAGTTATTTTTTTTTTCACTTTACACGTCAGCGATGTGACTGAGGAGAGAAAAAAAAAACTTTTCAGATTTACACAAAATATGATCAGTCAAATTTTGTGTAAATCACCTGAAAGGTTACTTGTGTCCTTTAAAATGATACTTCTTTTTTCCTAAAACTTCATACCATGGTGAGAAATAACATAAGCTAAAGAGGTAGATAATGTACGGCCAAATGTTTATTACATACCTATCCTGATAAATGCTAAATACATTACTAGCATGGATGAGATCATATGTTCTTGGATAAGTTGACATAGCTTCGCACCAATCATGGTAAGTCCCAATAAAACCTCGTTCATAAATTGCACCTAGAGTGTCATGGTTTGAATTTGAGGGAACAACATTCATAACCCACACTGGATATTTTATCAAGGCTGCTGCAAATCCACCAAGATAAGCATTCATGTCAATAATGTTTCTATATCGTCCTTGGGAAAGAGGAATGATATGCTTGTAATGTGCTATCCTGTTCCTCCATAGTTCATTGTCCTTTTGAAACTTCTCTGTATTAATGTTTGGTATTGAACCACTACTAACTCGAGGAGGGATGGCAAATGCACGCTTAGGCCATTTTTCTAGTGCCCCTCCTGCCACTTTGTCTGAGCTGCTGACTTCTGGCAATGGCGTTATGCACTTTTCCATATTTTGATACCTTTACAATGCAATGAAACAAAGAAAATGGTATGAAAAACCAAAGATTTTATTATATACAGTGATCTATTAATCTCATATTGCATGTGATATTTATCTCATGCAACAGAGACAAGATAGTGGGGTCCAGTACTTTTTCGAAAAAAAGAAAAAATAATGGACTCTACTATTTTGTCTATGTTGCATGAGATAATTATTTCCCTTATATATATATATATGGGGCAGGATCTTTTGACACTGGTGTCAAATTTGAAGTTTGACACCTCATCTGAGAGCCGTTAGATCAAAAAAGATCAACGACTCTGATTTGTAAGCATGTGACACCATTGATCTTTTTTGATCTAACGGCTCTCTGAGGTGTCAAACTTTAAATTTGACACCAGTGTCAAAGGATCCTATCCCTATATATATATATATATATATATATATATATATATATATAAAGTGATCCTACCTATAGTAGTAATGACCTAATAAAGAATTAATTACCAGGCCATGTCAGGATTGTCGGATTGGCATATGTGTGGTGTTTTATAAACCTGTCTACTTTGTACACATTCAATGTGATTTAAAGGCTTTTGCCAAATGGCAAGGTCATCCTTCTCAATAACTTTCTTCCAACATATACGCTTGGCTACTTCCTCGATAGAATCTTGCTCTTGCTTCAAATCTTCTTGTGTCCTTTCCCATCCCCTCCAGTATTTCTTCCATCGAATAGGTGGGCCAGAAAGAATCCAATAGCCACCTGGCCTGAGGACTCTATCCACTTCAATCAAATACATACCATCTGTGGATTGGAAATTAAGAGATTTAGTGAGTATTAAAAGTGCATGCAAAAGAATTATTGTTACTTGTAACAAGCATGCATGATGATATTAAAAATGCTAAAATGTTTTCCATTTTCAGATAACAATGTTGGAAAGAGTGTTTATGCCTTTTAACTATTATATTTACTTAAATTAACTACTTGTATGATTGATTGTACGAATACCATATTTCTGCCAAGGTATCAGGCAGCGAGAACAATGAGCCATATCAAATGCCCTCGCTGGGTATGGCATCCTCTGTGAAGCCATGATGCCAATCATAGCAGGAACTCCTCTCTCCAATGCAAACTGGACCTGAGCTTCATGTGTATCTCTTGGTGCAAAAGACATTGCTATGATGTCCCTTTTCAAAAGGTAAGCACCCCAACTTGCTACCTTTACAATTAGAACCACAGGAATGTATTAAATGTTAGCAACATACACATAACCTTTTAATTTGAATTTAAGATTTATAGGGGAAAGTATAGGATAAATCACCAAATAAATACAACTCCTAGTCTAAGCATTTTTCATGCATTGTTTTGTCCTGCAATTTTTATCTTTTACACAGTACTATAATATAAGGTCCACAGTTCCAAACAAACAAGAAGGTTGAAAAAGTAAATAAAATAGAGGCATAGAAATAAATCAAGATAAGACTACAGATTTAACTTACACCACACCCTGTATCAATTGCAGTTCTGATATTACCACTCGTGAGCGGAATAAGCTCATTAATATCATCAATGTATGCATCAGCTCCTCGTGGAAACATTGTACCTCCACCAGGGAATCTGAATCGGTCACCCTCAACTTGAATCCAGTTTTGAACAGCTTTCTCAATGCTAAGCTCTTTATGTGGAATATTGTCATACCAAGCATAATCTCTGCTTTGAGGCCATTTGAAAGGTGGCTTATATTTTGGTGGAGCAGGTATGAGACAATGTAGGAGTTCTTCCTTGGAGGGGCAATGTCTCTCCCTATATTTCAACATGTTTCGGTCAAATCTCCTACCTCTGACAGGATCTTGGCATGGAGTATATTCACTATATGTTTGGTCACATGGTGGAAACTCTTGCACCCCTCCAGAGTTATTGATCTCAACTTGATGGTGACTTCCAAAATCTAAATTTGAAGATGATGATAGAATTGAAGACTGGCTTGTTGACCCACTATTACAGTCTAGTTTTGAGTAGACATCAGATTGATTAGCTTGTGCGGGATTACTCTTCCATGCACCCATTATATAAGACAAAATACATAGCCCACTAACCCCAAATATCCATGTCAGTCGATTTCTCCTAAATTCAAGCTGATTATAATGTTTCGGGGATCCATCCTTGCCCATTTTCTCTTTATTTTGAGCTCTGAAGAAATTTTCAAATAAACAGATAACATTAGTTTATGTTCACAAGTTTGTGATCAATGAAAGCTACAACAACACTAGTTGAATGTTATAATATATATATCAGAGAATTAACAATAGTTAATTAACTGGGAGTTCTGTTATTCCATTCTATTTGAATTATCCACACATGATGAGTTTTAGAACTAGAAGAGCAACTAACCGAACCAAGAACAAAGATGCCAAGACAAAACCAAAGATTGAACAATATACTGACAGCAAAGAAAGAAAAGGAAGGTGAATCTTGTTAACATACCAGAGGAAGTAACTTGAAGAATGTGCAAATTTATTGTGACATACTGATTAAAAAAAAAAATAGGTAGACGGAAAAGGAAAGTGTGGTTTTGTTTGTTGCTATATTTTACATGTTACTTTTCCCCCCTAACTTGTAGTTCATTCAGAGACATGAAGGAAGTTGTGGCTTGAAAAGAGAGAAGTTAAATTGGATTTATTCAACAAACCTCTTTGTAAAGATGGCAAATAATGATATATAATAGGAGACATCGTAGCCTCAAATTACTCTTCTTTCACCCATTCTAAAAAGAATGCGAATTGCTTGTTCCTTGAAGGTGTGACATTGCCTCTTCCCACGATAATAGATAATAACATAAGCAACACAGAGTCTATATTCACATAATATATAATATTGTTATATCTACACCCGAACTCGTACGCTTACTATTTTTTCCCGAAAATATATAAGGAAATAAGTTTTGTTTGAGTTATTTTTTTCCGAAAATGATAGTTGTAAGGCATAAAAGTATAGGTTCAAGATAAATATAATAATTATTGTATAATATATAAGTAAAGTTGACTTGCAACTATATACTTTCATTGTATTTAAAATTGGGATATAAATCTATCATGTATCAGGAAAAATTTTATTTTTCCTACAGACACAAATAATGTTGGGGTCCATTGATTTTTTATTCTCTCTCTTACTTTTACTTTCTCTCTCTTCTAAATGTGTGTCTACAGGAAAAACTAAAATTTTCCTGTGACATAATACATATATATCCCTTTAAAATTATTGATGTGGCTTTCTAGAAAGGAAATATAATTTTTTTTTGTTCCTATACAGCTAATACCTGCTTTAAGGATTGAACCAGAGGATGATAATCTTTCAGTGAGCCAAATTTTTTGATCAAGTGATAAACTAATATATGTATATTTGAATCAAGGAAATCATATCATAAGTAAAATAAAAGGAAAATCTTGTCTTGTATGAATGAATGAAAAGGCTACAGTTCGCAAAGCAACAACCTTTTAAGACTTAATCATTTCTATATGAATCCTTGACTGATCAGACGAACAGAAGGACAAGTATGAATATGATTCACTATAAATAATAAAGGAGGCCAAGTCAGCTCTTGAAGTAACAGATCTCACGTGACTCAGTTAAACTAGTTAGCTTTCTGTTAGCTTAATTTTATAATATATAAGCTATGTAAAGTACAGAACTCATTCAGTTTTTAGTTTTTCATTTTTTTCAGTTTTAATCCATAAGATGGAGTTCATATTTTCTCCTCTGAGTTCCTCTCTTTTGATTTGTGATATGGTATCAGAGCTTTCCTAGCTCTGGTATCCACCATTTCCGCTGCATTTTCTTCCTTCTTGATTATAATGACCCTAAATGGTAAATCTTAATTAGAGATTTAATTTAAGGATTTAAATGTCATAATTAGATTTAGTGAGTGATTCCGAGTATTTTGACTGTAATCATGACTATGTTATGAAACGTGTTCTGCCGGAGAATTTACAGTTTTGTGAATTAACCGGTAGAGCTTAAAAGAGCAAAATAATTTTAGAGACATAATTTGATAATTCTGACGACAAATATGAGTTCAGAACGAAAAATTGTATAGTCTGGCACTTTCCGTGAAAATCTCGTGAATAGTGTTTCTACCGGGTATTTTGTACTGCTGTTTAAGCAACCGGTAGAGTCCAGAAATAAATAATTAATGAAATAAGAATAAGAAAGTCCAATATATGTCAAGCAAGTCAATATAGGCCCAAGAAAATGATAAGTTTATAAGTTTTAAGTTTCATAAGTAAACGAAGTACAATTAGTGATTCACAGTGCATTTCGTCAAAAACGGTGCAAAAATCATACTGTGAATTATGAATATTTTTTTGTAAGAAATAAAAAGTAATGTAAATGATTTTAGAAAAATAAAAATATGTTCGGAGCTTTAAGTTAATTCCGGGTCAGTTTAAGTAAAAATATGCGTAGGAAAAACATCCGGTAAAGCCACATAGGCTAAAAAGTACATTTAGTGACTCAAAGTCACCATTTTTCCTCACACTCTCTCTCTCCCTCTTCCCTCCCAAACCGTGACAGCCATGGAGAATAGAGCTTAGGGCTTGTTTTGATTTTTCTTTGATTTCTCCATGATTAAGCAACCAAATCTTTGACCCATTATACCAATCTCATAGGAAATCATCCAAGGAAGCTATTCCACCCCTCCATTTGAGCTGATTTCATTTGTGGAGGGAGATATCCATCACCCCATTTTCGTGCACTATTCATCCAAGGTGGAAAAAGTGAGTTTTTGATGGAGCTTGGCTTGGAGGTTGCTTTCTAGGCTTTGGGAAGTTGATTAATGGTAAGAAACCTTTGTTTTCATGATGTTATTTTGATGGTTTGTGTCATAGAAATTGTGAGCATGTGTTGGTGTGAAATAAATTAGTTTAAAATTTGAATTGATGATGTGTTGGATATAGGAATATGGAATAAGCATATGAACATGTATAAAAATTGGAAAAAAATCACATGGTGACATACCCTAGATTTCGGCCTTGATAGGGTAATTAGGGGTGATGCGCAAAGATTTATTGTATGTATTGGGAAGGTTTAATGTGCTTGAATAAGAGGAAATTTGATGAGTTAGTAAGAATGTTAAATTTGAAAGAAAATCCTTTGAAACATACCCTTGATGTTTCGGCCTTGAAGGATTTAAAGAGCTTGAGATTCCCAAAAATCAAATAGGAACTTGGTATATATTATATATTTATGTACGTGTAGTTGTTAAATTAAGTGAGGAAAATGTATTGTAAAAGAGAAGGATCCTTGGAAATTCCCTTAAAGGATTCGACATATAGGGTGTTTAGGGAAAGATGTTGTCATATTTTATTTTAATAAAATATGTGTGTTTCAAAGTATGAAAATGATAAGTCATGAAGTGAAATGGTTTGAAAAGAAATCATGGAAAAATATATTGATTTCCTAATTTTAGGCCCACGGTCCTTTAAAGTAAAATGCTATGATTTATGTTGGAAATTCGTAAGGGAATGGATGATTAAATTAAAGAACACCAACGGTTATAAAGAGGTCTAGACTTGTGTATTGGCATAGGATTGGGAAAAATGCAAAGAAATGAAAAGAAGCGATAAAATGTATGCCTTATGTGAAAGCTAGGCATGATGGCATTTTATTAATTGGTATTTGTGGATTCTTGCTCTAGGTGTACCTAGGGACTAAAAAGGAATCAGAATCTCTTGAAGATATATAAGTAACTTGTGAAACAAGTAAGGGTATTGGTAAAGCTTCAAGAGGTAAGCTCTATGTTTAAGGAGTCTTTTCCTGCTTGAGTGCTCCACCATGGTTAGTGAACTATGGTTGGACTGTATAACTGTGATTTAGATGCTTTGTATAGATGCATTCATATAGAGTTATTTGATAACATGATATGTTTTGCTCTGATATGACTTCTGTAATATGATTTCTGTAACAATCTCTGACCATTGATTGTATAGTACCCTGATGTCCGCTTTGGGGTCCTCCCTCGGGACTAATGGTGTACATCTCTGATATGTCTGGTTCCGCTTTGGGGTCCTCCCTCGGGAACACGTGCGTTGATTTCCGCTTGGGGTCCTCCCTTGGGAATGACGGCGCACACCTCTGATATGGATAAATGCTCTGTTCTGTTATGATATATGTTATATGTTGTATTCGTATACTCTGTATCTGACTTTCGTGCAGGAGTGAGCCAGGGGTATAGAGAATTCTCTATAAACCTGGAGCTTATTGAGATTTGTAATCTCACCCCTCGTTGGGGACATATTTTCAGGTGCCCAGATTCCCGGTGAGTCCTCACTAGGCAGGGACGCGACACGTGGCTGAGGCAGTTGACAGATCGAATTTTGAGTGGCTGTAGGCTACTACTTTTTGGAAGTATATTCATGTTATTTTATATTTCCGCCTTTGATGGATCATGACATTGATCCTTTATTTTGTATATGGCCTGTATATGTTTTGTACATGTCTGTCAGTTTGATGCATGTACATTTGAGTATTCAGGCACGTTATATGATGAGGTAGTATTCAGATATGTTTACGTGTTGGATTGCATGCTGTTAGATATAGTGGCACTGAGCCAAGTTATGCATGCGCCCATGGATGGGCATTTGATTATATTTGTATAAATTGTTTATCAGGAAATGCTTCTGTGTGGGATTGGAAAATCCCCAGTTGTCCGATTTATAGAGGAAACTCTGCCCGATTTTCGTTTACGACGAATGAGAATTTAAAAAGAAAAAGAAAAAGTTAGCTCGTATTTTTAGAAGTTAAGTCTTCCGCTGTTTTCTGTTTTATCATATGTATGTTAATTGAACCGGCTCGAGACGGGGATGTTACATTGATCGTTTTCTTGTTCTCTGTTCTTCATCTGCAATGGTGGATAACATTCCAGAATACTTGACCAATCCAGGTCATCCTTTTTTCTTGCATCCAAACGAGAATCCTTCTCTTGTTCTTGTGAATCCACCTCTGAGTGGAAAGAACTATCATACATGGGCTCGGGGTATGAGCATGGCTCTATTATCCAAGAATAAGCTTGGATTTGTTGATGGAACTATTGCTCCACCCCTGTTGAAGATCCTTCATATGTTGCTTGACAGAAATGCAACACCATTGTTCTTGCTTGGATTCATAGATCCATTAGCAATTCAATCGAAAGATCCATTCTATGGATGAATCGTGCTTCAGATGTGTGGACCGATCTGAGAAATAGGTTTTGTCAATCTGATATATTCAGATTATCTGAAATTCAAGAAGATTTGTATAAGCTTCATCAAGGAGAGATGAATGGGACTGACTACTTCACTGAGTTGAAGACTCTTTGGGAACAAGACCAGACAGTGCGTTTGTGTCGATGTACAGTACCTTGCAACTGTGGGCTCATACATATGGTTCGAACTCATAAGGAACAAGACCAGACAGTGCGTTTCTTGAAAGGCTTGAATGAGCACTATGCTCATGTTAGATCCCAGATAATGATGATTGATCCTTTGCCTCATGTCACACAAGCTTTTTCTTTGGTTGCTCAACAAGAAAGGCAATTCGATACTGTATCTCAAGGTGAATCATCTTTATCTCATGCTTTTGCTAATAATTCGAACTATGGCCGAAAGTTTGTTGCAGAAAAGGGAAGGCCTAGGCCAAATATAGGAGGCCAAGGACGTGGCACTAAGATGTGCACTCATTGTGGAAAGCCCAACCACACTATTGAAACTTGTTATCAGATTCATGGTTTTCCTCCTGGTTTCAAAAGAGGTGGAAGACAGAATAGTTCAGCTAATTTTGTGCAACAAGAACTTGGTGGAGAAACTCACACAACTACTTTCGATGATGATTCAAAAGTAGGAGTTTCATTGTCTTAAGGGCAATATCAGAGATTGTTAAGCCTTTTGCAAGATGATGGATGCCAACCACCTAATGAACAGCAAGCAGTTCATTCCACTAATCTGACAAGTACAACTGCGTTGAATACAACTCCAACATCAGCATCTTGGAGTAACACAGCAGGTAATATCTGTTGGATTCTAGATACTGGAGCTACAAATCATATTTGTTCTGTATTGTCTCTTTTCAATTCTATCCACAATATACAGCCAATCTCTATCATGATACCTAATGGAACTCAAGTGGTGACTAACATATCAGGAACTATTTTCTTATCTGATACCCTGCAACTAGTTGATGTTTTGTATGTCCCTGAATTCAAGGTCAACTTGATTTCTGTTTCAAAGCTGACTTCAACTATTCCTTGTTATCTAACTTTTGGCAAGTCTTCGTGCACTATACAACAGGCAAATACCAAGAAGATGATTGGTATAGCTGATGCAAAGGAAGGGCTGTATTTCCTTGATTATAAGCAGGAAACAACAATGAAGATTGACAACTCCTTGAGTAAAGCTTCTATTAATGTAGCTAGAAAATTGAATAATGCCAAGTTATGGCACTTTCGTTTAGGACATCTTTCTTTTGATGTTTTCAAACAGATGTCTAAAGCATTTCCTTTTATCTCCTGTGAAGATGTAAGTCCCTGTGACATATGTCATTACTCAAGGCAGCGAAGATTACCTTTTCCTCTTAGCAATTCTAAAAGCAATAAAGCCTTTGATATGATACATGTGGATATATGGGGGCCATATGGTGTTTCTTCTATTAATGGTCACAGATTCTTTCTTACCATTGTAGATGTTTTTTCTCGATTTGTTTGGGTAATACTCCTCAAGAATAAAGCAGAAGTGAGGCCACGTCTGCAGAATTTTATAGCATACATAGAAACTCAGTTTGAAACAAAATTGAAAGTGTTACGCAGTGATAATGGAACTGAATTTATCATGGATTCCTTTTATCAACAGAAAGGTATAATGCATCATAGGAGTTGTGTTGAAACTCCTCAACAAAATGGTAGAGTAGAGCGCAAACATCAACACTTATTGAATGTTGCTCGAGCTCTAGTTTTTCAGTCTCAGATCCCACCAACTTTTTGGAATTTTGCTGTTATTCATGCAGCCCATTTGATCAATCGTTTGAACACTCCACTGCTAAATTACAGCTCTCCATATTCAATTTTATACAATAGGCCACCAGCCCTCACTCATCTACGAGTATTTGGGTGTCTTGGCTATGCTAGCACATTGACTAGCCACAGAAATAAGTTCTCTGCTAGAGCAAGGAAAGCTGTCTTCATTGGATACCAAGATGGAATAAAGGGTTATACCCTTTTTGATGTCACTTCTCATGAGATTTTTACTTCTCGAAATGTTGTCTTCCATGAATATTTCTTTCCATTCAAGGAAAAGTTATGCTTACCTCTTCCTAACCCTGCACCCCTCTCTGACTTTCCCATCTATGACTTTCCCATAGACCTACCTATAATGATCCTATTAACCAAATCTTTGACCAACCTCTTTCTGTCACAGATCTTTCCCGTGACCAACCTATAAATAATCCTACCCGTGACTTACCTTTAAACACAACAGTCCAAGCCAGTGACTTACCTTTTAATAATCCAAATCATATCAGTCCAAACCAAGTAGCCACAGTACCTATTAGACGTTCCACAAGAGTCAAAAATCACCCTCAGTATCTTAAGGATTTTCATTGTGGATTTTCTTCCTTAACATCAAATGCTGATACACGTTTCCCTTTATCAAATGTTCTGTCTTATGACAATTGCTCACCCACTTTTACAAAGTTTTGTTGCAATTCCATATGCATCATTGAACCTCATACTTATCTTCAAGCAGCAAAACATGACTGCTGGAAAGAAGCCATGAAGGCTGAAATTTCTGCTCTGGAGCAGAATCAAACTTGGGTTCTAGTTGATCGACCTGCTGATAAACACATAATAGGTTGCAAGTGGGTATACAAAGTAAAATTCAAGGCTGATGGAAGCATAGAGAGATATAAGGCCAGGCTAGTTGCCAAGGGCTATACTCAAATGGAAGGAGTAGACTACCTTGACACCTTCTCCCCAGTTGCTAAGATGACTACTGTTCGGGTTTTACTTAGTGTGGCTGCTTCTAGGGGTTGGCATCTCTTGCAACTTGATGTCAACAATGCTTTTTTGCATGGAGACCTCAATGAAGAGGTGTTTATGGCTCTTCCTGATGGCTTCCCTCAGTCTCAGCCACCCAAGGTATGTAAACTTCAAAAATCTGTTTATGGACTCAAGCAAGCGAGTCGTCAATGGTATTCAAAACTGTCTTCAGCACTCATCTCCATCGGATATCAACAATCCGTGGCAGATCATTCTCTCTTTATCAAACGAACAGATTCTTCCTTTACAGCCTTACTTGTCTATGTGGATGATATAGTCTTATCAGGTGATGATTTAAACGAGATCAATCAAGTTAAGGCTTTCCTAGACTCTACTTTCAGAATCAAGGATTTGGGCAACCTGAGATTTTTCCTTGGTTTGGAGGTTGCACGCTCAAAGGATGGTCTCATTGTAAACCAGAGGAAGTATGCCTTAGAGATACTTTCTGATGCTGGGATGCTTAGTTGTAAACCAGTTTCCACACCTATGCAGCCTTCTAACAAGTTATGTCAAGCCAAGGATCCTTATGAAATTTTATCTGATGCTCAACCATATCGAAGGCTTGTTGGTAGACTGCTATATCTCACAACCACACGACCTGATCTCTCCTTCGCTGTTCAACAGCTCAGCCAATTCGTTTCAGCCCCCACGACTCTTCATATGGCTGCTGCACATAGAGTTCTCCGGTATCTCAAGAACTCTCCAGCTCAAGGGCTGTTCTTTTCTTGCAATAAATCCTTGGTTCTGTCAGGTTTCACCGATAGTGACTGGGCCTGTTGTCCAGACACTAGGAAGTCCACCACTGGTCTTTGTATTTTTTTGGGAGATTCACTTGTATCTTGGCGTTCGAAAAAGCAAAGCACTGTTTCACGCTCATCAGCTGAGGCTGAGTACCGAGCCCTTGCATCCATGTCTTGTGAGATTCAATGGTTGAAGTTCTTACTCATTGATTTATGTGTGCCATTCACGAAACCTGCTGCTGTGTTTTGTGACAACATCTCAGCAATCTATCTTGCTAAGAATCCTGCATTCCATGAACGATCCAAGCACATTGAGATCGACTGTCATGTTACAAGAGAACGCATTAATGATGGCACCATTCATCTACTCCCAGTTCAATCTTCTTCTCAGCTGGCTGATGTCTTTACCAAATCCCTTCATCCTCAACCGTTTCTGCTCAATATTGGCAAGCTTGGTCTTCATGATATTCTTCGTCCAGCTTGTGGGGGGGGGGGGGGTAATAAAGGAGGCCACGTCAGCTCTTGAAGTAACAGATCCCACGTGACTCAGTTAAACTAGTTAGAAGTAGTTAGCTTTCTGTTAGCTTAATTTTATAATATATAAGCTATGTAAAGTACAGAACTCATTCAGTTTTTAGTTTTTCATTTTTTTCAGTTTTAATCCATAAGATGGAGTTCATATTTTCTCCTATGAGTTCCTCTCTTTTGATTTGTGATAATAAAGTAAACAGAAAAAGATCACCAACCCAACATACTCGTTGAATAATCTCCAAAGTTTTTTTTTTTTTTGGAAACAATAATCTCCAAAGTTGGTGTCCCTTTTGGAGTGGCCATGGGCCTTGGATCACCCTTACTGGGCTCACAAATGGGCCAGGATTACTATATTTATTTATTTTTAATTTAAATAATGTCTGCTCATCTGATCCTTGTCATAAAAATTGAGAAATAGATCTTCTCATGTGCAAAAAAATATGATATGGTTATGTGAGAAGATCACAACCATACAAAGGTAAATCAACGGTTATAATTTTGTAACTACCTATTTTAATATTTTTTTTCTCTCCTCCTTTACTACCATTGATCCATCTTTGTATGGTTATGATTTCCCACATCACATGGTCATGTGAATTTTCACATGAGAGGATCCAGATCTGTTTTATGTTTGTTATGTTCCATAACATAACTTTATTTTTCTACACAGACAACAAAAAGGAGAGAGAAAGTGAAATGATGAAAGATAGAGAAAAATATATGGACCCCATCTCTTTATTGTGTGTGTAAAAAAGTGGAGTTATGTTATATAACATAACAAACATAAAATCTAAGAAAAAAAAAGGGAGAAAAAGGGAGAAGAAAGTATAATATCTATGGAGATTAATCCTTATCACCTTCTGACCTTCCACATGCATCATGCTATTCTAACTAAGGCCTAGGTCACGAGCAAAAGAAAATTACTTCTATTAACTTTTTTATTTTTGTGAGTTGAGTCGGATGATCCGTGGCCACATAATCACAATATTATTTATTGCACATCCAAGCTCAAAGCAATTGGGTCCACACTATCCCGTCAAGTTATTAAAATTGCTTGTTTGAAAATTGAAGATCAAACATGGGAACTGGGTATGAATCTGACTGGTTAAATTTGGGAATTTTCAATAACTAAATATCAAAGTGTAATTAATGCGGCTAGTTTTTAAATAAAAGAGTTTGATATCAACTTAAAATTTTAAAAGATTGGTTACTATGGGAATCAATTTTGAAATAAAACTAGTTTCTGGAGCACTGGCATGGCTTAGTGGCCCACACCCGACTGTATGCAATATTGCAATCTACTTCAGCATCACGACAAGTCATTCCTAGTTAACTATGCTTTGTTTCCTTGGGATAGGTTTATACGCATGGATTTATAGAAATAGGTTCGTTGAAGTGATATATGCTTGATTTCGTTTAAACAAGATTTTGGATTTTGGGTTCAAGTCTACGTGAATACAAAAAAATTTCTTTGAGAGAGTTAACCTCGTTATGATATAAACATTCTTGGTTCAAACATGATTGTCTCCCATATTTTATAAAAAAAACAAAACAAAACAAAACAAAAGGTTTACATGCATGGATCCTTGTGACTGCACTGATTGATTAGGCCACTTAGAATCGCTCAAAACTCAATTGAACCAACTAAGGTTGTGAATTGCAGTTGTAATTGTAGTTGCATACTGATTACAAAGACATCCAAAATTTCACAATATTGTGGCCAAAATTACAATTGTGACCACAATTGTAAACTTGTAACGGATTGTTAAATAAGAAGAAACAAAGTTAATATTTTTCACATTTTATACATATTTCTCCTATAGCGGAATCTTTCCATGAATGTAACCCCATTTTAAGAGAATCATGTAGATTGTGCACTTGTAATTTTATTTATCTTTTTATATTTGTCATTTCTGCAGTATTTAATATAAAATAAATACTAAAGTAATTTTTTCACAAATAAATAAATCTTGTAATACTAATTATAATTTAATATCCGATTTATGATTGTATTTTCCTTCAGGTTTTTTTAAGCTTCTCATATTAAATACATGGATGAACTGCGACTAACTGTGAAATAAAGAATATGTACCTCAAAACCAAAGTATAAGCCAACTTTTATTGAATCGGGAAAAAGTAGCCTTTCACACGGGAAAGTCAAATTACTTTTCAAAGACTTTGATTTGCCCAAAAAGACCTGCAGCGTGTTTTAGAGATAAGGACGAGACATTACTGGTATTATAATAATTAACTTCCTCTGCCAAATTGAATAAGGTATGCAATGCATATTAAATGAACATAGATTTGTTTCTTATATATGGATGATTCTAAAACAAAAAGAAATAAGGAATAAAAATTTTCATTCTTCGATATAAGCTATTCGAATAGGCATCTCTTCGAAGCTTCCCTTGGACAGCTGTTTGCAAGCATAGCAATTAAATCTTTGTTTATAGATTTTGAAGAACCAATTTGCATATCAGATACCTGCCTGCAAATCCATCCACTGAAGAACTCTTTTGGTACATTTCTAGAGAGATCCTTCTCATCAGATAACAATACCAATAACATCCTGATGCGGTTCTCTTGTAACTGCAGATAAAGAACCTGCAAAGATGGAGCACAAGAAAACAACAAGCACGAAAAGAAGCAATTTTGCATGTAGGATTCATGAACATGGTTAGTATTTTTTTTTTTTTTAATTTTTTTTTTTAAGGTTATATTTATTTTATGTTGTAGGAAGATTGTTATCTCATGTTATAGAAATAAAATTACAAATAAGATCCACATATTAGAGGAGAGAGAAAAAATATATACGGGACCCACCTCTACTTTGTGTGGGTAAAAAACTTGTTTATCTTATGCAAGATAAGATAAATATAACCTTTTTGTTTTAATACAAGAATGATGTTGAATTTCCAAAATATGAGTAAATTATCTAAACTCCTTACCATTAGACCAATTTGCACTGAGATGTTAAAAGAGAAATGAATTCTATTGAATGGTAGATTCATTCACAAAATGTGGTATGTGGGGTTGCAGTAAAATTGGGTACTAAACTGTCCGAGACTCTGAAGGGTAAGTTAAGTTTGGGCGCAAGGATTATACAAGAAGGTGGGAGAGGGAACATTTTCAAGCATATTTTTGGGATGCAAGAAGGAGAGCAACTCTTGAAGGCTTCACAATGCTATTTATACACGACAGCTGGTCCTATTGCTGGAGTTCTATTTATTTCCAATAAAAAGGTTGCATTTTGCAGTGAAAGGCCTATAACCTTCCCTTCTGCAACTGGAGAGTTGCTCAGTGTACCTTATAAGGTAATCTTCATTTGTTAGACCCCGAATTTAATTAACATCAAATTGTCATTATTTTTCATTGATCATCGAATTGCAATGTTTTGATATCAAGGTGCGTGAAATTGTGCAGGTTTTGATACCAATAGAGAAGATAAAAGAAGTCAATGAAGGACAGAATGTGAACAGGACAGAACAGAAGTACGTAGAAATAGTTACTCAGGATGATTCTGAATTTTGGTTTATGGGGTTTTTACGGTATGAGAAAGCTTTCAGGAATCTTCAAAAAGCCATTTCCATGTCCATTTAACTCCAAAAATAGATGATTGAACATTGTTTCTCTGATGTTTGACACATACTTAGTTGTTTGACAGAAGGGGAAGTTCTGTTATGTACAGTTGTTTTTGTCTGTACTCATTGTTTACTGGGGGTGAATGCAATAACACTCAAGTTTATAGTTGTTGCTTCATCCCTTATCCCTTGGTGATGAAGAACGCGTGATTAAGTTTTATGCCATGCAAAAACAATCAATGTTGTCCTTCATGATTTGGCTATAGATGGTGAATGCAACACGGCTGGGAATAATCACATGCAATAGAGACCAAATGTAGAAAATCAAAAGACTAAATAACTCAACATTAGTTATAAAAAAAATTATTGGTCATAGCAATTAAAAAACAAATTTCTTCATCCAATTCTTAATGCAGGATTTTCGATGAATTGCTAAAGAACCAAAATTTAATCAAGTCCAGTTGGTAGGGAACAAAGGACTACTATCAAAATTTATAAAGCAGCAATCTCGGTTAACATAAAATTGTTTGGGTTTACTTCTATTTTAACTTCACAAAGAAAAATTTGGAACAGTGAATGTGTGAAAAGCCTTGTTTTATTCATTAGCATTACTCATATATATTTATAATGCATTATCTAAAACAGAAATTACAAGTGATGGGGTGGACTGTTAGAGAATAATATAAATTATTAAAAAAGTCCTTACCTAACACTTTAAGATTTTGGATTGAAATGATTATTTATGTAGGCTGAGAAGAGTTTGCAGCAGAATTAGCTGAAGAGTTGACAGGATCAGTAATGGAGGAATCAATCATGTTGCTGTTAAGAAGTAAAGCTTCTGATAACATGAAAGTGTGAAAAACCTTACTTTAGTCATTAACAGTACTTGTATAAACAATGCAAGAAGGAAAACAGAAATTGCAAGTGGTAAGAATACATCAAAAGGACAAGGATTACAATTAAAATTATTCCTAACAGATATAAGCTTAATCCTAACAGAATAACTACATAATAATTAATAGGTGTCCTAATCAAACATGAATTAACTACATTTAATAGGTCTTACAAAAGGAATGCAGTTTGGATTCTACAATTCCTTAGATTTCTCAGCATCTGAGGAAGATTAGGCATGTAAAGTTACGGAAACCATGACTTGAAAAAAGCTTAATAATGAACATATACCGTCTTAGTCATTGATTTCGTTGTTACCCAATGAAATATGAGAGTAATTATAAGCTTGTGTTCTGTCCTAGAGGATGCAAATTTTGCAGGTTCTTCAAATTGTTTGTTATATAATGTTGGTGTAATACTTGGTTATATATCTATATGAGATCCCACGTGATTCCACGATATCTGGCTTATAGCATATGGTGATGTTATTTAAATGGTTAAATTCATGCTTATGTCTAGGACAGTAGAAGATCTGATCTGAAGTGTGCTTGTATATATTTATGATTTTATATTCTCTCATTTTGTATGGTTTTACATCACATGGTATGGAAATTATATAATTTAACTAGGGTTGGTTCTTGAAAGGCTTCAGTAAGAACACTTTATTTGAATTGAGTATGAAGTGATTTTGACGCTTTCAAAGCTAAGAGAAATGTTTCTGAAAGTTACTTTGGATGTTGATCTTAAATGTTATAATATTCGCACGCGTTTATAAGGCTTTGTAAATTGTCCCATTGACTTGTAAGAGTTGATTGATGAAGAAACTAGCTTGAATATGGACCTTATCTTTTTCAGGGATGAATATTGAACAATTTTTAATTATTTTAGAACGATTAATTCAATTATTATTACAGAAAAAATCTAATATATATTTATGTAGATTTTATATAAAACTATCCCACAAGAAAGAAATTGGTATAAATAAAAACATTGTTCACCAATTTAATTTTCTCGAGCACCACTTAGACTAGATGGTCCACTTTGTCCAAAGTATTTATTTTGAATTTTTTTAATGACTTCAGATGTAAGAACCTTACCTTTTTAATATTTTGGTGAGTCAGAATTGTCTTTCTTTTACTTCTTTAATTTTTAAAACAAGTTTAAAGTGAGTCATGACTAAGTACCAATCCTTATAGTGATTTTTTTATATACTTATTTAAAATCTTATTAAAAAAATACAAAAAATGACTTAATCTCAAATTCCCAATTCCTTTTCTTAATTTTGTAAAAGATTTATTCTTTTATTTGGTAAAATACTAACAAAATGTTGTTGAGTAGTTCAACAACCTCTTCTTCCCACTTAAAATAAAAGGGTAAATAAATAACGGTGGTTGGTATCTATTCCCTGGTAGACTTTGACCACCGCTAACCACAGTGTAAGCTTTTGGTAATTTGCATTTGGCAATCGAATTTCTTATTTTATAATCAACAAGAGTGAGCAATATGTGTGCATAAAAACAAAAGTGTAACGTGTAAATATAGTAAAATAAGAGGAAAGATTGTACCCCCCCAAAAAAAATAAAAATGGTAATACGTATTGAAAAGAACCTTTAAAAAAAAATATGTGTACACACTTACCACCATAGCCTTAACCGAAAATTACAATTACGACCCAAAAAAGAGAATAAGTATAAAATAATGTTTTCAAAATTTATTCTGTTTAAATTATTAGAAAAATAATACCACTAAGTATCACCAATATATATCACATAAAAATATGGAACGGTTATTTACTACTGCAAAGTTTTACAATTTTTATTATTAAATTAATCACTATTAATTTTTCTTAATTTAACAGTTATGATTTATTAAAAATTAAAAATTAAAAATTAATTAATAAGTGTATCAAATAAATTATAACCGTTTGATTGAAAAATCAACAATGATTAATATAATAGTAAGAATTGTAAAAAATTTCAATATAAGTATAACATCTCCCTAAAAATATAGTTATTTATTTTTTCTTTTCTTTAAAAAATGAGATGAAATAATAATTTAATTTTTTTTAGTTTAACACGACAAAACTCACATAAATCAATTAAAAATCACCCATGTATGGATGTACGGATTTTGTAGAGAATTCAATAAGACAAATCTCAACCATGTAAAATGGTTTATTCTGTAGTAAAAAAAACTATAACATAACACAATAAATAGAGTCAATGAATTGAAAAGTATGCATCGCACATTTTCTGTTTAAGACGGCTACGGTTCAATTTGTTAGACTACTATGGTAGTCATTTTATCTTCAATCCATATTCAAAGTAAATAGCATTTTTTTAGAAATTATATATATATATATATATATATATATATATGAAAAAAATATTATAAAATAATGGGAAAAAATATATATATATATATATATATAATGTTTGGCTGAAATTAAATTCAAAATAATAAAAATGTACTCTATAAAAAAAATAAAGAATGTATGTTATTTGTTTGACCGTGCAGAGGAGCTAATGATGGAAAGATACCGCTTATTATGAGTCAAGTAAGCAACGATAATATTAAGTGAATTTGGAACATCACAATCAAATGCATGAGTTTTTTTTTTCACTTGTACGGTATTTATATAATTTATTTTTAATTAATATGAGACTTTTTTATTGGGTCATTCATATTCCTCAATATTATTTAAAATAATTAATAATAACCAGACATGTATATACATATATATATATTTTTTTAGGATACCTTATATAATTGTTAATTTAAAATGAATTAATTGTACTCTAATTATATTACCTCAGGGCTAACGTAGACGGAGGATGACCACTGAAAATGTAACGACAAATAAGATTGTCAACTTCACACATGTAAGAATAAGTAGGAATAAAATATAATAAAAACAAGACGGTAAAAAAGACAAGCATTGTGGAGTCGATGAAAGTGGAAAGAAAGGGGTAAAGCAAAGGATCTGATTCGCGGGAAATGTATGTTAATGTTTGATGTTAACTGTTAACACGGTAACACTGAAAGCAAGACTAAGTAGACCAAGTCAACAATCCTTAATGCACAAAATTAAAATCATAACAGCCACTCTTTTTGGACCTTCTTCGTTCAATTCACACTTCGTCATCGTAGACACACACACCCATAACGAGGCTATGTTTTTTCTTCAATAATATTATTATTATTATTAATTGAATAATAATATTCTTTTTTTCCCTTCTTTTTTTCATGGTTCTGTTTTTAACCTTCTATGCCGTACCAAAGTTGGGTGTGGGTAGGTATTCCTGTGGATACACAGTGCAGACTGCACAAACACAACACAAAGTGAAGATCCCTTTGGATTTTTCTAGATCAAGGTCGAAACTTGAAGATGACCCAGGTCTGCAAACATCATATGTTTTGGTTTCCATCTTTGCTGCTTCTCTGTTTTACACACTTCATCCTCCAAATCCATGTTTTTTTTTTATTATTCTCCTTTTATGTTTTTCTTGGACTCGTAACTGTTTCCTGATTTATGGTTTTTCATCATCGCAGTTGTTTCAGATAATACCCTTTTCCTCAAAATAAAGTAAAAGTCTTCGGTTGGGCCTAGAATTGTTTGTTTTTGTTTATCTGCAAAGAAAGGAATCTGTGTGAGAGATTAGAGGACACGTTGGGAATTGGGAAAAGGAAGGAGGATATGGATGAGTATGAGGATCAATTCTATGATACCCGTGAGGAATTGTGTTCTGTCTCTGATGGGGGTTCAGATTGCTCAGAGTTAGACGAATCTAGTTCTGGTAATGGACATGTTACTAGGTACCAGGTTTGGACAAAAAACCTTGAAAGCGTTGACCAGCGACGCCTCAGTTTCCTAAGATGGATGGGTTTAGATTCTGATGCGAATTCTAGGATGGGAGAGGAGTTGTTGGCAGATCCATCTTGTGGAATTGACCGAATCACAGCAACCAGTGGGGCAGTGCTGAGAACTTCGATTGCTGTAGAGGGTCTTCCCTCAACCTCTAACCAGATTGTGTTGGATTCGGTGTCAAATGAGGCTTCGAGCTCGCCACAAAATTGCGGTGGTACGGAGAATTTAGCTTGTGTGATAAAGAATTTGGACGATGGAACACGCTATATTGTGGATAAACTTGGTGACGATGGAACTCTTAGTACACTGCGTGTTCTGGGTTCCAATCAATTGATTAGCTTGGAAGAGTTTCAGAGAAATATCGGGCCATCACCATTGGTTCGCAGATATTTGCAGAGAGATGCTGAGAACACACGATTGTTGAGTGTGACAAAAAAGAAAATGAAGAGGGGTTGGCTAAGGAAACTGGATTCTGTGGCTTGTTTTGTTCATAATCAAGGGCTTGATGAAACTAACTGCAAAGATTTTGATTCAGTAGATGGAATTGGGATACATAGAGTTCGAGTTCATTCACATAGGAAGCGCTTTAAGGAGCTTTCCTCCCTTTACACTGAACAGGAATTTAAAGCACATAAGGGTGTTATTTTGACAATGAAGTTCAGTCTTGATGGAAAATATCTGGCTAGTGGCGGTGAGGATGGCACCGTACGCGTGTGGAAGGTGGTTGAGAACGTAAGATCAAGTGAATTGGACATTCTGGACAATGATCCGTCAAATATATATTTCAAAATGAATAATTTTTCATGTGTAGCTCCCCTCGGTGTAGATAAAGAGAAATTAGTTAAAACAGAGAAGTTGAGGAGATTGTCTGATTCAACCTGTGTGGTTATCCCACCGAAGACCTTCCGCATATTGGAGAAACCTTTGCATGAATTTCACGGGCACAGTGGTGACATTTTAGACCTTGCATGGTCCAAAAGAGGGGTTAGTTTCCTAGAGAAGCAAGCTACTCTTATTTGTCTTTTATATCATGCACTGTCTTCAAATTTGCTTATTATTTAGTTTTCTATGAAATGGAACTTACTGTTATTTTCATTTTTCTTTTGTTTGTGACAGTTTCTACTGTCATCCTCTGTTGATAAGACAGTGCGCCTATGGCAGGTAGGAATCGACAGTTGTCTTAGAGTTTTCTCCCACAATAATTATGGTGAGCATCTATTGCCTTATGTTAGTTATGTATGTTAATGAATGATTTGGATAATGTTGGTTGTTCCGTAATTTTGTTCCTCTATATTTTTCTTTTCCTATATTGTGTTGTTTTGCTAAATAATAATACTTTGTGGTTACTTTTGGCTTTGATGCAGTGACATGTGTCAATTTCAATCCCGTCAATGATAATATTTTCATCAGTGGTTCAATTGATGGAAAAGTGCGCATCTGGGAAGTTCTTTACTGTCGAGTTATTGATTACATTAATATCAGAGAGATAGTCACAGCCGTATGCTTCCGCACTGATGGAAAGGTTTGTTTCATTTTACATTTTACTGTAAAACATTGTGGCTGGAAACTTTCTTTTTGTTTTGTTCCTAAAACTTGTTTACTCATTCTTCCAGGGCACAATTGTGGGTACCATGGCAGGAAATTGTCGTTTCTATGATATCCGAGGTATGCTCATATTTGGCTCTCTAGATGTTTGGAATTGTGTTACAATATGAAGTCTCTGAGAACCATATAAAACTCAATATGTTATTATTTAAAAGTTAAAACATGTATGGGTTCTGTTGATAAAAATTTGGCAATTTAATTTGGGCATATACTAGTGGTTTTTCCCCTTTATTTGAGAGCATTTCATGTGCTGATCTTCAACTTCAGTAAAGGTTTTCCAACTGTCAAATGCTGTCTACCTATTGTGATCATTAGCTATGTAACAAGCTACTTAAAAGAAAAACTTAATCTACGTAGTGTAGTGACTGGTGAATGTGGTGATTATGTATGGCTGTTGGTTCTGTGTCTGTGGAAGCCTTGTTCTTACTTCTTGAGGGTTAGATTAGGTTTAACTGCTGGTCAGCGTGCCAGGCAGGGCAATATTACTTTGAGTAAAGCACATGGCCTTATAAGGGGTTGTCCCTTGCTGATATGTTGAGGAATTTGGTAGCTTCACTACATTGATAACTATTGTTCCTTGATGTATACTCTTTTCTTTTCTCTCTTTTTTAAGGAGGATTTCTTCTCGTTGTTTCCCTCTGTTATATTATTCTCTTGTCTTAATAGATTTTTTCTTTTATCAATATATATATGTATGGATTGCACTAGCTGGAACGACTAGGATGTAGACGTGCATAAGGTCAAACAATGGATTACTGTTGATTATTTTGATGTTTTCTTATGCTTGTAATATAGAATAGTATCTAAATTTATATTATTTATCCCAAAAATGATTACAATTAGTAGTTTCTAATGGTCATTCTTATCCTTTTACCTTCACTTGTTTAGATAATCATCTGCAATTGGATGCTCAATTGTGCTTACAAGGCAAAAAGAAGACATCAGGGAAAAGGATCACTGGCTTTCAGGTTAGTTATTTCTGCCACTCTCTTTTTCTGATTTGTAATCTTTCTTTCTCTGCTACCCTATATAAAATTATTGAATAGCCGTTATTAATCTTACATGATTATTTTCTTTTTTCAGTTTTCACCAAGTGACCCAAGCAAATTGTTGGTTGCTTCAGCTGATTCACATGTTTGTATACTTTCTGGAGTTGATGTCATCTACAAATTTAAGGGTAGGTTCATTATCTTTTCCTTATCTGAAAAATCATATGAAGCGCATCCTATCTATGCCCATTTCTTATTTCGCTGCATCTTACAAGTATTAGATTAGGAACAAATGTTCATACATATAGGGCTCGTTTGGTGGATAGGATAGGATAAGGGTAAGATATGATATGGGGCTCATAAGGGTAGGATATGATATGGGGCTGATAAGCCTATATCATGTCCTGTGTTTGATGCGCACTTGATTAGCAATATGATAAGATTATGTAGAAGGAGAAAAGAGAAAGAAAAAACAAAATATAATGCAATAAATACAAATATATTGGGTAGCATGGGGATATATTGGGTATCCAATATTGGTATCCTATCCTATTGAATTCTAACCCAGCTCCCCCCAATAGGATAAGAAATCATGTATTGGATAGGATAAAATGAGACAATAGGATAAGTTAATCATATCCTATTGACCCACCAAACAAGAGATAAAAGTAGGATATGATAAGTCATCTTATCCTATCTTCTTTATCAGGTGCTCCAAACAGGCTCATATATTTATATATATCTGATGTATTCCTAAAGAGTGTGGGCTGGAGCAGCGATAAAGTTGCTCTTTTGTAACTGAAAGGTCAGGGATCAAATATAGTCTCCTGCAACAGGGACACTATGGAAATGCATGGGTTTCTTTTCCAAATTTTTGTGCTTTGATAATTGATTTCGCCTGGAGTTTTCAATTTTGTACAATTATGTCCATTTAGGTCATAAATTACATTGTTATTTATACCACTTCCTTTTCTTTGCCTTCAGGCCTAAAAAGTGCAGGTCAGATGCATGCTTCCTTCACTTCTGACGGGAAACATATTGTCTCAGTTAGTGAGGATTCAAATGTTTGTACATGGAATTACACTGGCCAGGATAGGAGTACTTCCAAAGCAAAAAAGATTTGGTCTTCTGAGTGTTTTCTATCCCACAATGCTGCAATTGCTTTACCCTGGTGTGGCATTGAATCAATGCCAGGAACACTCTTGTCCCCATCACTGGGGGAGGATTTGAATCAAAGGTCCTCTCTGTCTTCGCCTGATTGTTTCTTCTTGAGTCGCGGATTTCTGTCAGAGTTAGTCCCAAAGGTTTCTGCCACCTGGCCTGAGGAGACACTTCTGGACTCATGCCAAACTGTTGTTACTCCTAGAATGGGTAAATCAGAGTACAAGTTCTTGAGAAGTGCTTGCAAGGGAATGTCTAATTCTCACTTGTGGGGCCAAGTATTTGTAACAGCAGGATGGGATGGACACATAAGAGTGTACCAGAATTATGGGTTACCAGTTCGTGTTTGAAACCCAGGCTTAGGTTCATTTCTTGGGGCATTCCAAAGTTAATAAGTTGCTATGCTCTCATAGCATTAGAGGGTTCTTGGATAGAATGGAATTTGCTATATTGCAAAGGTTCATCATTTGCAGGTGTAATAGAGTAACAACCAGGGCAATTCTTCTGTTTGAAATGCCACCTGAATAGATGACTAGGGATTGCCCCTCACGTAATATTCTTTATACAAAGTCAATATCAGTTATATGATTCTTTAATTTTTAGGGACTGTCAGCTGAGAAATGTGATTTTTAGTTTTGCTGGTGGTCCTTATCGGAATGTAATTCATGATTAAGTGTATATTATACAGTAAGATTTTATTCAATTTTCACTTATACTTGAAATGTTTGTTTGCACAACCTCAATGTGGAAAGTGCATAAATGCATAATGACTATATTTTGCCTAATAGACCTTGAAAATTTAAAAATTGAATTAGTGGTAAAATAAGTTACTATGAAGGTGCTTTTTTATTTTCGTCTTTGTTTTCCCAGCTTAATTAAAAAAAAATGAATTTTCTATCTTAGGACCTAATACCATCTTTGCTTGGAGCTGATGGCGAATAAACAACCAAGTGTATGCGCTTGACTTCTTGGTGTAATGACTGCTAAGCCACGTACACACGTGCACAATGAGTTTACTCACTTAATTAACTTTTTATTTAGTGTTCATTTTTTCTACAATTATTATAAATAAGTTATTTACATTGAATACAAAATAACATCGTTTTGGAGCAAAAATGAAGGTATTTTTGTAATTATAATTTATTTTAGGGTTATAATTGTCTTTGTCATTATAATTTTTTAATCTTTCAACTCAAAACGACGTTATTTTGAGAACAAATATAAATAACTTATCTACATTCACTGTAAAAATATTAAAGCCCTTTTATTTATAACAATTCCATAATTTGAAATTCACTACAATTAACGTTGATAATTCATCCTGATATCAAATCAGATAGAATAGAACATCCTCTTATCCTAAAATATGGTTGGAAAAAGTCTGTACGTTCCACGTGCTAAGGGAGGGTCACTGTGTCATCGGTATATGGAGAAAAATAAACACAATTTCATGTGGCAAATTTTGGTTTATAAATAGATAATCCGTTCCACATAAATCAAGTTTAGGGGTGTAATTATAAGAGTGATTAATGTAAAATCTTCTTGTATTGTCATTTAATCATTATTATATTATTAAAAGAATATATGTGTAGCATTATTAGATTTCTTAATAAATTTATAAGTTTAATGTTTCTTATGTTTTCTAGTAGATAAATTTATCTCTGAGACTGTATCCAAAAAAAAAAAAATTATCTCTGACAAACATTAATTAAACCCTTAGTTTATTTATCGAAATACATTTTTCCAAAATAGTTTATCAATATTGTTTTCGGGTACAGTGAAAAAAAGAAAGGAAGAAAAAAAGCATGAAAAATCTTTAGAAGGAATGACGAGGAGGTTTTTCTTCTGACAGTGTGCCCTGGAGCATGAAGAAAATTGGCTCAAAAATAGTTGTCTTCACCTGCTGAAACCAAAACCCACCAACGTTGGAATTTAGATATAGCCTTAATTAAGGATCCTCGCAAGAGAGCTTGGTTAAAATATGACATTACAGTTTATCAACCCACAACTACAAAATTGCGATAATTAAGAAAGCAAAACTTCAAATCCTAAATAAAGTATCACGTTGTAATCTCTGATGGGTCACAATATTGCTAAAAAACCCAGAGCTCATCACGAGATACCCAAATAGAGGTTACCCTTGCTCGGTCACGAGATAGAGATGTAAGATTGTTACAAACTGCGCAATAAGGGGATTAAACAATTCCACGTCCACTTCTCAAGTCATTTGTTGCCCCTTCATTTGAAAACACAAGCATAGAACAGTCTTTATCAATTTCAAGATAAAGCAAGACAGTGTGATACAGTGTTAGGATTCAACTGGAACATACTATTTAATATTTATCTCCTTGGAAATACCCCATTTTGAGACACTGCTTATCATCATCACAAGCTGACATATAATGGAAAGAAATGGCGTGAATTAGCAAAAGAAGATAACTATTCATAGTCAGTGGCGGGCTCCAATTGGAGTCTCTCTACCAAAAAATTATATATGTATTTTCTTCAGATATATAGTCTCACTTTAGTTGTATGTGCAACTAATATGGAGTTTATATGACCTTGGACACTCCCACCCTTTGAGCTAGCTTTTGGGGTGGTGTATCTCAAGGTTCTTAACATGGTATCAGAGTTGAGTGACTACAAGATCACAAGTTCGATCCTCAAGCCCAATGAACTCTCGTGTGAGGGGCGTGTTGAGATATATAGTCTCACATTAGTTGTATGTGCAACTAATGTGCCGTTTATAAGACCTTGGACACTCTCACCCTTTGAGCTAGCTTTTGGGAGGTGTATCCCAAGGTTCTTTACATATTTATTTTTCTTAATTTTAGGTAGTTCATCTCATAATATTTTTAAATTATATTAAGGATTCGCTTTTTTTGCAGTTACTGCATGCAGTAAGCCCAATACGACGTCGTTTTGGGCCGGAAATCATGGTATTTTTATAATTTTAATTTATTTCAGGGTTATTATAGTCTTAATAATTATAATTTTTTAATCTTTTAATTTCAAAATGACGTCGTTTTGAAAATAAATGCAAATAACTTATCTGCAGTAACTGCATAAATATTTTTCTGTTGTATTAAATATAAAACACCTGAGCAGACAACATCAAAAAGAGTTATAATTTTATTAAATGTATTTTAATTTTTTATATAAATAAAAATGGAACACATAATTTAATAAAACTTATCCAAATCTCTCACCAAGTATATTTTAATTTTTTGATAGGGCAAAAATACAACCCGGGCCAAATTATAATTTTAGACTGGACCAAATTATAATTAATTATATAATTATACATGATAAGTATAATTTGTTAAAATTTAGTCCGAGCCGAGGCCACCCAAATAACATGTGGCTCCGCCACTGTTCATAGTAAGGATATTCTTATTTTCTTCACTTCACGTTGTTTCATATTTTCTTCTCTCTTTTAGTTAAATAAGTTAGGAAGTCTTAAGACTAGGTGAAGGGAAGGGAAAAGAGTAAGAAGTTTGATGTCACAATCTCACAAGACTGAATAAAAAGAGAGGATATAAATGAAACTAAAATAACACTTACAATGGATAAACACACAAAAAGATAGTCTTCCAAAATCTGAACACTCACGAGTCTCTCTTACGCTTTTCTTCAAAATTGGTGGAGATTTATGCAGATATTAAAGCTGGTCATTACTGTGACGTGCCTCCCGTACCTTAGTTATGTAACAATCCAAGTGGATAGATAGCATCTATGTAAGTAAGAAGATTTTAGGGGGAGGGAGGAGGATAAGGTTAGAGGTTAGAGGATACACGAAAACATTTATGTTCTTTGTAATTTGTGGATAAAAATTGGGCAAAGCATAACACCATCTTTAATTAGTAAGAAAAAGAAGGTGGCATTGTAATAAAAGGATTCATTAAAGAAAAATATATATGGTTAAGGACTTACCCTAGCAAGTAGCAAATTAATGTAAGATTAAAACTTATTTTCGTGTATCTAAAAAAAATCACTTTTTTTTATAAAACTTATCACATAAGTTATAAGTACTCCACGACTAAATTCTTTCGATTGACAACATAAGAATATATCAATGAAATATTTTAAATAAGGACAAATTATTCTTATTATATCATTATAAGAATAATTTTTTTTACATTCATTGATCCAATTGTATCAAATTACTCATAAAATAAAATTATTAAATATATATATATATATATATATATAATTAATGATTAGAATTTAATGTAAAACTTATTACACCGATATAAAATAATTTAACTCTTTTAATTATTTATTTTGGTATACTTTGTGTGTATCATTGAGTTATAGTTTGTTACTAGTCTAAAAAAAATTATATATTGTTACTCATTAAAAATGTTTGACTTTCGCAACTCTCTTAAAAGTCAATTGTATTTAATGGTAAATTAATATATATGAACGAATATAAAAAATATCATACTAACTGTATATTTAAATAAAATAATATTTTAATTAAAAGGTAGATCTATTAACGTTGATGTATAGGTCTTAACACCATTACATCACTTAAATAAAAAAAAATTAATAGTTTTGATCTACTCAATAATTTGTATATAAATAGTTATATAAGTTTAGTAATGCCAAATTTTGAAAATGGAATAAGATATCTACAAAAAGAAATGTAATAAGATTAATTTTGTTATCAAATGGTTGATATTAATTTATATTTATTTATGTATTATACATTAATTTAATAAACAAATCAAAATTTAAACCTCGAAAAAGACAACTGTTGAAAAACTCTTTTAGTCGTAACGATATGATCGGTGTGTTAATCTAACAAAATTGTTTGTAAAAATACCGTGATTAAAAAAAAATCACAATTTTAAAAGAATAATGTTACACAAAAAAACACAGCCAGAATCAAGCTAGTTTTAAGTGGTGGTGTTGCAAAGAAGCTAAACCTTAATTATGGATCGTTTCTTTAGAAGGTTATCGCTATGATTATTCCACGTACTATACAATTAAGCGGTCGTCCAAATAATGGATATATTTCCTTAGACAGTTAGCTTGTCATTAATACAACAATAGTAACACATTAATGTTACAATCATAAAATCCTCTTCCAAGTTTTTGAGTTTGCAAGGCACCAGTACAACCTTTTATAATAGGTGTAAATTATTGCTTGTATTATAATATCATCTAATTATATATTCTAACAATTTGGCTTTAATAGAGTGTGATTACAAAGCTTCTATATAATATCATCAAATCATTTGTTGCAACTTATATATGATTAGATGATAATACAAATCGAATTTCTTTTTACTAAATGAATTTTTTTAATAATGCATAAATATATATATGATACGATGATAATGAAAAAAAATATGGAAGTCAACATTTAATTTATTATTTAAAGAGCTGAATTTTTTGAATAATTAATATGTTAATCAAAATATTTTAAATATAGTAGTGAGATATTATTAGATGATATTTACACTAAATTTTTTTCAGTAGAATGAATATTACCAATTACTCGTCCATGGATTTGATCTCTTTATTTAAAAAAGAAATATCTTGCGAAAATATTTTTCTTTAAAAGCACGCTCTCTCCCCTCCCTGGTGCGCATGTTAGTAGGTCCCATGCAAACACCATGAGAAAGATACTCTTTGGAGAACAACTACCACATGGAGAGCCCGACCCCATGTTCTTATTGTCCACTTATTTATTTATATTTATAAGAGGTATAGTCCACATATAATATATATAATATAACTCCAAAAGAACTTTCTCGCATGTATTTTGTACTATCCCCATATATACAAGTACAACTACATCCCAGAAACAGAATGATAACAAAATAAAAATGCACCATTAGAGTTTTCCAGGCATGCACTTTCACTTCTAATCTAACTAAGATCCATGTTAACAAAACCCAAGCTCCATAATCATTGTATCATCATAGCAATCCAATCTAACTAGCTAGCATCTAAATCATTTTAAAGTTGGAACAATAAAATAAAACCAACAAGTTTCCTGACGTTTACCCTAAGTAATCAAAACATATAGTTACATTTAATTATACCCGAGATAAGATAAGATTGTGCCAAGCTAAGTCTTGCTATTATTATGCCTACTTTCTTAATATACTAAGACCCAAGAGAGAACAAAACAAAATCTGAGTTGCTCTCTCTAGTCTCCATCTAAACCTATCTAATTCCATATACTTCTATAGATGTCTTTTTCTTTTCTTTTACTTTTGCAGTGTCCCAAGAAGCTTCAAAATTCAAGGTGCTTGAGTAGGTCAAAGGCAGCTTTCGGACCTTTAGAAATCATGAATTCGGATGCAGCCCATAACCTTGCTGCTTCATTTGAGTTGGATCCCAATTTTGAGGTGGAGGCTTCGTTACAGTCAGAAAAGTACTTGCCGGACACATGCATGAGCCTCGGGTGGGTTGCCACATAACATGTCGTTGCAGCTGCCTACATTTTTATTTGCAATAAATGAAGAGAAATAATATAATGAAAAATACAAAAAATAAAAATAAATTATCAAATATCTCTACAATATTATTTATGCAGGACAAGATGCATAACCCTATTTTGAATTTAATTAATATTTACCTGGGGAATCGTCTTTAAGAGCTTCGAAGCCAAAAAGAACACTAAATCTGCAATTTTAATTTAAAACATAAAAGGAAAAATCCCAAAAATCAATGGCTGCAAAAAAAAAAAAAAAAAAAAAAAAAAATTGGCTTGTTTGGGTTTTAACCTGTAAGTAAGCCTTCACGCTCTCTGGTGAGTCTGGTTCTCACGATCCCCGGATGAACGCAATTCACAGTCACGTTGGCCTCCATTTGCTGCAGAAATCACATAGAAACGATTTAATTAAATTATTAATTAATATCTAGTGATTCAACAAAAAAAAAATGATAAACTAATTAGCAAGAATGGGGTTAAACGAATCCAAGTCCTGGGGAAACATGAGTACAGAGATGACTGATTACTGACTAGGGAAACAAACAAATTTCACTTTTTAAGAAGGATAAGATCATAGATAGCTAGATGCTGAAAACTGTTAATTAATTAAATATGTTAAAGAGGAATGAACGAAGGAGTGAGTGTGCGTGTGTGTGTGTGTGTGTGTGTGTATTATACGGTACCTGGAGTCTGCGGGCAAGTTCCTTGGTGTGGAAAACGTTGGCGAGCTTGGAAAGAGCATAAGCACGTGTGGCGTCGTAATGGCTGGGGGACAATGGACAAATTTCAATCCAAATAGGTTCAGTGTTTGGCAAACATATCACATCATTTTGTTCAAACTATAAAAGCTTCTTTTTGTATTAATTTCAAACAGGGTCGTTATTAATTAGCTAGTTAGGATATATGACTCTTACAAATCAGAATCAAATTCATATATAGAGTTGTTGTTACCTTTTGTTGCGACTAATAAGAGCAAGATATGGAATCACATCACCGGAAAACCACCCGTGTATGCTGGACGACACATTCACGATCCGACCTTGCACCCCTGTCTTCTTTGCCGTTTCAACCATCGTCTTCACCAACAACTTTGTTAACAGAAAATGACCTGATCATATCCCTTAATTCGTTAATTAATTGGCTATATATATTGTAATTGTCAAATATAATGAAAAAAAATAGTATTAATAATACTTCGTTTCATACCTAGATAATTAGTGGCGAAGGTCATTTCAACTCCATCCTCGGAGACAGCGTGCTCGTGTGCAAACTTTCCGGCGTTGTTTCTAACAATTAATTAATCATTCAAATTCATGAGCTAAGAAATGTTGTTCTTTATTTATTTATTATTATTATTTTTTGGTTAGATTAAAATGAAATAAAATGTTGCATGTAAGTGAAGTTACATGAGAAGATGGAGAGGCAAACCGAGGGAGTGGAAGTGATCAACAAAGTTTCTAACAGAATTGAGAGAACTGAGATCGAGCGCCATAACAATGATCTCCGCTTCGGGACACTCTGAAACTATGCGACCTTTTGTATCCTCCGCAGCTTTCATGTTCCGCGCTGGCAGAACCAGCCTCGCACCACGTTTCGCTAACACACGCGCCGTTTCAACTCCGATTCCAGACGTAGCACCTGATAAAAAATATATATATATAACATAATCACATATAATAATAATTATAATAATAACATCTCTAATATAAGGTTATGGAATATACCGGTAATGATGGCGGTGATAGAGCGGAGATCGGCGCAGTTTTCCGTGACTTGTTCGGCAGTGGATTTTGACCCGAACCCGCTTGGACCGGCAGACCCGATCAGGTATTTAACCGTTTCAAGCATCTTGGTACTAAAAAAGAATTTAGGAAAGTTGTGTTTGTTGTTGGAGACTTAGATTTGAAGTGAGAGTGAGTTAATGTAACGGTGGACGTTACACTCTTGTGTTGACTCAATACATTTGGGTTTGGTATAGATCTTTTAACTCTTTTGACTATAATATGGTGAAATTCTTCTGCTGCTGCTGCTTCTTCTTCCGAATGACTGAGAAAGTGACCGGCTTTTGGTTACAAAAGGTGCTTCTCTTTTTCACTGTCAGGTTTTTGCAGATGCTGGTGTGGCTCTGCATTAATCTCAATCAAACCCTCACACTGCTTAACGCGTACGTGCAGAAGAAAGAAATTAAGAAAAGGAAGAGTGAGAGGGGAAGGAAAGGATAGAAAAAAGGATGAAAGAAAAAAGAGGGTAAGGCGTGAGCGTGATAGTGCCACAAACAGATTGGTTCAAAGGCTATGGAAATGAAAAGGGGTATAGCTACCTCACTACATCTTTTTTTCTTTTTCTTTTTTATATTGGAAAAGATTGTACTTATTATTATTTTAATATTATTATTTATTTGGTTACCACAGGATCAATTTTAAATAAAAAATAATTATTTTCTTTTCTTTTTTAATTATTAATTTCAAATTAATACAATAATAATTAAATAAATAATAAAAACAATAAGTCTAGAATGATAATAAGGATAACCGTATTTTTTTTTATAACCATATATCAACAATAAATGAATAATGGTCCTTCCTTGCTAGTGCCTAGTGTGGACTGCTGACACAAAGAATCAACGGTAGAAATAAAAAGAAATGGAAAAGAAAAGAACGAAATAAAGAGCGTATTATATAACCAACATATTTGACACTCATACTAGATAAAATAAAAAAACAATGGGTTTTTATTTTATCATTTAACATAACACAACAAACTTTCTTACACTCACAACATTTTGTGGGGTCCACACTTCTTAAAACAAAAAAATAAATAAAAAATTAAGGCACGCAAAACGAATCTCTATAACATTACACAATCACTCTCCCTACGATATAACTCTTATAAAACCCAAAAACAATATATTATACCATACTAAAAAATTCTTTGCGGGACTGAGACTGTGCTCTTTTTTTGTTTAATAATTTTTAATGATCCGATGGATCCTTCATCTTTGATCAAGTACTTTTAATTACTATTTCAGATGATACCTTTCATTTCCTCTATATCTGTGTGCTAGGGAAAGACACAAAAGTAATATACTGGTTTTATTTATGCGTTTTATAAGAGTTATGTTGTAGGAAAGTGATTGTGTAATATTACAGAGATTCGTTTTGCGTGCCTTAATTTTTTATTTATTTTTTTTGTTTTAAAAAGTGTGGGCTCCACAAAATATGATAAGGGTAGGAAAGTTTGTTGTGTTATTTATTTCTTGGCACTACTCTATTTCCTATGCGCCATTAATTTAAGAGAAGAAAAAGAATATACAGCATTAACTTCTTTCCACGATCAGTGAACATGTGTCATCGGACACTGTAATTATGGATTGACTTTTTCATAATTAACGTGGACAACGCTTGTTAAATCAATCCAGTCTCATCTTTATATCGTCATTGATTGTTCTTCTTTAAACAGTAATCTTACAGTTGGATTGCTTGTCCTTTCCCCGATGTAAGCGTTAAATCCATGATAATGGTGGTTAAGGAATTCATAATCAAATCAAACTCAGATTCTTTTAGCGATAATAAAGATCAACGTATCTGTCAAAAAAAAAAAATTCTTCAAAAGGGGTCATTAATAATTTTAAGAATAAATACGCTTAGAGAAATCAAATTTAAATAAATTGAGATATGCATATATATATATATATATATATATATATATATATATATATATATAGAAAAAAAAATTAAAATTAAATTCATTCTTAATTTGAGAGTTATTAAAAACTTTCCTTTCCTTTTCCTTTTTAAGTAATTTAAAAACTTTTAATTAAGTTGATTGTTTAACTAAATTTTAATTAAATAATTTCGTTACAAATTCTCAACTTTTATGATTTCAATGACAAAGTTGCTTAGGGATCTTTTTATATGGTCAATTAGTAATGGTTATTGGAGTGAGAAATATGGTGCAAAAGTAATGCAATCATTTAACCCATAAATTCTATACTTTGTAATTAATTGATGAACTAATTATTTAATTAAAAAGTTGTATTACAAGAAGAAGAAAAAACTATGCACCTCATCATAAGATTTTTTTTTTTTTTTTTAAATTTAAACTTGTGTTCCCATTATAGATGATTGAAACTGCTTATCACGCTAACTTGATTATTATGGGCTGTACAAATTAATATAAACAAAGAAAGTGACCCAATAAGAATAAGATAAGTAAATTGTCTCATAAAAATACAAATGTTCAAATCCTAAAAACGTGATTGATAAATTTATTTAATTGTAAATAGAAAAATGATTTCATATTTAAAAATTACGAAAATATAATGATGAAAAAAGAAGAAGCAAGATGGGTACGGTTAATTAATCAAATTCAAATAAATGTGAGTGGATTGGGAAGAGGGTCAAGCACAAGCACCGAGGTATGTGAAGTATGAATCGTCAAAGGAGGAATCACCCTGCAAGCGAGCATTGAGAATTCAGTGTGGTTTAAGGCCACAGAGGAAGAATATCAATAACATAACATTAACAAAGATCGGTCAATCCTCGAATGTAGCATATTCTTGGGATACCAAACTTACCTGGTCAATCATTCTTGTTCAAACCCCATATTTATTTGTTTCTGATCAAACCCAAAACCCTATACTTACTTAAAGTATATATTAAATATATTATCTAATAAATGTAATATCTTATATTATTAAAATAATTAATTTATTAAATAAATAATCAACAATATTGGACTGATTGTTTAGCATACAACAAACAATCAGTCCAATATTACATATTGAACATAAATATTATGAAATCGATTTATAGAACATAGAAAAGATTATTACAAGGCTTTTGGCTCAAGGTTTCTTAGAAGTTAGCCATGCATCTCAATATGTCATTTTTGAACTTCCTTGTTTGGTTGAAGTTTTCAAAAAACTTAGCTATGCATCCATTTTGCCTAGCCATCTACTTTTGTGTGAAAAATTGGGGAAAAAAATACTGTTGAAAATAACTCTTCCAAGGTGGTATTTTCAAGTTGCATAGGCTAATGGTATTTTCAAATTGTGTGGATGCCAAAAATACCTTCTTCTATTAGACAATAGTGTTTGCTACAAGGTTATTTTGTAATTTGAAGTTATTCCCCATCTATATTTTTTCTAACCAAACAATTTTTTTTACATTTTCTTACCAAACTCACTTTTCAACCATTTTCCTATCAATTACATTTCTCTAGTATTCAAAAAATTTCTCCTCAACTAAACGCTCCCTTAAGAGGTGTTTGGTAAGAGATTTGTTTTGGGATTGATGGGGAAGTGTGAGTAGGTATCAAGTATAATCATGTTTGGTATAAGTTTTTCAAAAACTTCCCTAGTAAAATAAGATGCATAGGAAAGGTTAGTTGTGTGAAAAATGTGATGAAAATCACTATTTCAAAATACCACTTTGCATGTGGTATTTTGTGATGAATGAGGAAGTGAAAAGTTGAACTCCAATCTCTTGACAAAAATGACCCTCCATTGTCTACAGATGTCCGTCTCGTGAACCTCTCTCATTTACAGTTGTAACACACTTTCATATTGTTCCTCTTTTTCACTCTCTAATAATAGCCTATTTTGATATTTTATAGTTCTATATAAATTCTATACGCACATATTTCATTTTCAAAGCGTAGAAAAATGCAAATAACGAAAAGGAAAAAATAGTAAACTTCAATACTTTATGCGAAATGGTAATTATCTCAAATACTAGTTTCATAAAAGTTTAAAATGGAAAATTTGACTGGTGGCACCAAATTTGAGAAAAAATTATAAGGGTTATTTTTGTCATTTCAATTTATTTTTCCATCAATATTTTAGCTTCAACCAAACATACATTCATAAAATTTAATCCAATTTTCCTGGTAATATTTTGACCAACCAAATAACTTTTTTTAACTTTCCTACCAAACTCATTTTTTCACCTTATCCTATTAATTTTATTTCCCTAGTAAAAAATAAAATTTCCTCTACCAAACGCCTCCTTAGGATTTTTGCATTATCACAACTTCACAAGACATCTTATTTGTGTCTTTCGGTTATTGTTATAGGGTTTTCTTTATGATAATTTTACCACCTTTGTCGTGAGTTTAACTTTAACCATGTAAAGAACTTTGGGATACACCACCCCAAAAGCTAGCTCAAAGGGTGGGAGTGCCCAAGGCCTTATAAACTCCACATTAGTTGCACATACAACCAATGTGGGACTATATATCTCAACACGCCCCCTCACACGAGAGCCCACTGGGCTTGAAGAGTGGAAGATGCAACAGGCCCAACCTACCTGTGCTAAGAAAGTCCACAAGAGAAAGTGGGGACGAGGCTCTGATACCATGTAAAGAACCTTGGGATACACCACCCCAAAAGCTAGCTCAAAGGGTGGGAGTGCCAAAGGCCTTATAAACTCCACATTAGTTGCACATACAACCAATGTGGGACTATATATCTCAACAAACCACTCAATTATTGTTATAATTAGGGAGTTTATTACTATTGTATTTTTCATAAGTTGAAATCGAAACTTCTTCCTCATTAAGAATGAGCGGAAGAAGAAATTAATGCATCATTTTTTATCCTCCCATATTAATTAATAATTATGTGCTCCCTTTGACTTATTATCTAATAATATTTTCCTATGGCTCGCAATATTTCTCTCTAATTTTAGTAATATAAAATTTATATATATAATGATATAACAAAACCTATTCTGTGGACTTGATGAGCAATGTCTTAATGGAGTCGGGAGAGGAGATATGAAAATAGAAAGAGTTTATGAGGATCAAATTTCATCACCAGTTCTTATCAATTAAGCAACTAACATATAACAAATTATATTTAGTATTTTTTTAAAAAGACAGAATCATTTTTATATTAGTATAAAGGGGAATGATTTGTTTACAAACTTTTTTTACAAATTATACTAAGTATGATTGGTCATACACTCTTGATTGAAGTATGACCGGTCATACTTAGTGTAATTTGTAAAAGTTTATAAATATAACATTCCCTAGTATAAATTACACTTTCAATCTTAGTTGCTGATTTTACTTATATCTGATGCTCTAATTTATTTTATATGTGTATTGTTAGATATAAATAAATCAATAATAATGATTAAATCTAAGACTTTTTATTTTTATATCAATGCAAATTGGTATATAACTTAATTTTGGGTATATTGTAAATAAGATCCATATGAGATGGCACTTCCACTTCAACTTAGCATCTTTGGGTATTTTAATCTTAATCAACTAGAGTCTAGAATTGATTTTGGTCAAAAAAATTGACACTACTCAAGTTAAAAATCGTTGGCCACGAA